CGCAGCAAACAGACATAAAATAATAAGCTCAAAATAAGAATAAAAATATACAAATATATTTGTTTTGGTCTAACTCAAAATGGTTTACTCTAAATTTAATTCACTAACAAATAAATATTTACAACTATAAGATTTTTGGAGTGAGAAAAGTCATCATAAAACTCCTAACTCAAAACTTAACTCAAAATTCAATTACATATTTTTAATAGCCTACTTACTTAGTTATTCTCTTGATATCTAACTATTTAGGATTATCAAACTAAAACAGGGTGAAATTTTTTATACATTTACTAAACTTTTGATGTGAGATTATGAGATTAAAAATACTCAACAAATTTTTTCTTTACTTAAATCGTTAAACACTTCAACGATATCTGCAAAGCTAACACGTTTGCCCTTTTTCTTTTATTTCATCATAGGAATCCTAACAACTAGGCCTCTATCAGGTATGTACAAGTGATTTTTTTACCCTATTCCTTTGTAAAATCATACTACCATTCTTATATACTTTAAACCAGTCATTATTACCATAATATATGTATCTCTCATAAGCTAACTCACTTAAAATAATTAAATTGTAGTTACACCTCGATACATACCTTACATGATGAAGCATTTTAACAATATAATTATGAGATCTAAGGTAAACACTTTTCAATGCCTTGAATCTACACCTTTTTCATTATTGACAACCACAATATCCTTATACTTTTCATTCTCTTTCAACTTTACAAAGCAACTTTTATCATTACAAACATGGATTGTAATAGTTGAATTCAAAACTCAACTTTTATCACTTTTCAAAGTCCGAGTCTCATTCACATAAGTCATCAAAACAACATCATCATCATCAAATACAAAGCAACAATATCACTCTTTTCTTCATTTAATTTTTTCTCCCTATTCGTCATTTTAAAAGCAGTCATATCCTTCAAGTCGTCAAAATGATATCATCATCATTAAACATAAATAGCAGCACTATCACTCTTTTCTTCATCCAATTTTTTTTATCATTCGCCCTTTTGAAAGTAGCTATATCCATTCTTAGCTTCTTGCAGCATGCTTGGATATGTCTTTTTTTTTTCACAACAATAATAATATTTTACGTCATTATAATCTCTGTTTCTTGACTTGGATTTTTCTCTTGATCCATCAATATTTTTTTGAGTGCTCCGTCGATTAAAACCCTATGATACTACTTATTAGGATTGTGACAGCTCTGATATCACTTGTTGGAGATTACTACAGCTCTAAATCACTTGTTATGCCAAAAGTCTCAATTTAATCACATCAGTAAAAGTAAAATCAAATAATTAATCAATCAATCACATAAGAGACAATAATTTAATGTGGTTCAGTCTAACAAACCTACATCCATAGATAAGAAACAAGATCCACTAGTTGTGTAGAATTATAAACATACAATCAAATCAAACATTCATAACTAATACCTATAGATCATCTCAATCTCTTTTAGTCATATGCAGTATTTTCAATCAAAATAAATACAAACTCATTCGTACCTTTTTAACATAAATAAACACATATCTATATGCAACCATACATCATATTTATGTGGATCATCTCAGTTTCTTCTAGTCCAGTCACAAACATACAAATAGTCCACTCATAAACATACAAACATACATACTTATAAGACGTAAATCTCTGGTAGTCTTATAAGATTTTTATCTTATAAAATCTTATAACTCATTACATCTTTTTTTCATACTTAGCTCTGTAAAAACTTCATCTATTTATAAGTATATAAACTTGCATATTAAGAAACGATTTCTTTTTAGAATTTTTTTTTACAAGTCAAACTTACCTATTAAGAATATTTTTTCTCTTAAAATTCTTTTTCTACAAGTTTTTTTATCCATCAAGCACTATCTAGCTAATCTCAAATAAATCTCTTATGAGATTTGAATCATTATTCCTAAAAATAATTACTGTTATTGCAATTGAAGATCTTGCCCATTAATCTTTGTTTAAACTCCTAATCATGTAATTAATACTTATACTAGTTGAAATTTTCTTACACAATAAAATGTTATTGGTTGTGTTTTGTTAGTGCTCGATCTAATTAAAAACAAGTCTAACTTAAACTTGAAACAATCAAAATTTGACTTGATCTGATTAGTTTGCACAATAAAATCATATTGGTTGTGTTTTGCCCATTTCATTAAAAAAATCAACAACTCAAACTCGAAATAATTCAACTTTGACCTGATTTACTGAAATATCTAATTTGTAACACATCATAATTAGTTGAACTTTTTTAAAGTTTATTAGTATTAAGCAAGATGGAAAAGCAAGGAAAGAGGGCAAGAATGTCGAGACATGAGAGCTATTTGGCAACTGATAGGAACGTTAAATCCACACTTGCTTGATAGATAGCCCACCAACCCACCAACATGCGCATGTTCCTCCCTTTTGACTAAACCACCCTTCCCCTGTACGTAATCAATGGCACAAAAATCAAACCCACTTCTGTAATTTCAACAAATCCTGAGCCCTTTTTCGTGATTCCAAATTCAAATTTCAAAATAAGCGGGAGTTACATTAACCATGATTAATAATAGCTGGTTAGAGAAACCAGGCTGGCATTGGCTTAAAATTGACGACAACCCGCTTCTTGCTGTCATCATTAACCACGGTTAACTAACTCTAGTTTGTCCAACCACAATTTTTTTTGCCATCTTGCCATCTTCCCCACTATATAAACCCCTCCAAAGATTTCCGACTCTCGTATCCGATTAGGCGTCTTGATACACGCCACCGTTTAACAAAAATTTTCTTTTCCTTTCATTTTCTGAGAATTTGCTTTGGTTTTTTGAATCTCAAAGAAAAATGAGAGAGTGCATTTCGATTCACATCGGTCAAGCCGGTATTCAGGTCGGCAATGCTTGCTGGGAACTTTACTGTCTCGAGCATGGTATTCAGGTAGGTTTTCATTTTTCTGGAATTATTGATTTCATTTCCTCGTCTTTGTTTTAGATCTTTCAACATTGTGATTTGTTTCGATTATATTTGAATTTATTGCGTAATTAGATTTCTGTTGTTGTAAATTGTAATAGAGCTTATTATGTAAACAGATCTGAACCAATTGAAATATTAGCCGAAAGGTTTCCCTCATGTTAGATCATTTAGGAGAGATCTAGGGTCTGAAATGTGGATTATTGTGGTAATATTTTATTCTAAATTTAGAATTTTTTTTTAATTTCTATTTTCAGCCTGATGGCCAAATGCCAAGTGATAAGACTGTTGGTGGAGGAGACGATGCTTTCAACACCTTTTTCAGCGAAACTGGTGCTGGAAAGCATGTCCCTCGCGCTATATTTGTTGATCTGGAGCCTACTGTTATCGATGAAGTGAGGACTGGAACGTACCGCCAGCTTTTCCACCCTGAGCAACTCATCAGTGGCAAAGAAGATGCTGCCAACAATTTCGCTCGTGGACATTATACAATTGGAAAAGAGATTGTTGATCTCTGCTTGGATCGTATCCGAAAGCTTGCTGATAACTGTACTGGGCTCCAAGGTTTCTTGGTTTTCAATGCTGTTGGAGGTGGTACTGGTTCTGGTCTTGGGTCCCTTCTCTTGGAGCGTCTCTCTGTTGACTATGGAAAGAAGTCAAAGCTTGGTTTCACTGTCTATCCTTCACCTCAGGTTTCTACATCTGTTGTAGAGCCTTACAACAGTGTTCTGTCCACTCATTCACTCCTTGAGCACACTGATGTTGCTGTGCTTCTTGACAATGAAGCCATATATGACATCTGCCGGCGTTCTCTGGATATTGAAAGGCCCACTTATACCAATCTTAACCGCCTTGTTTCCCAGGTAAGGACTAATGATAAGAATTCTTACAAAAATTCTAGTCTTTTATATTACAAAAGAAATGATCATTGTTAATAACCGTGGTGTTTTGGCATGTATGTTTCAGGTTATCTCATCTCTTACTGCTTCTTTGAGGTTTGATGGAGCCCTGAATGTGGATGTGACTGAGTTCCAGACTAACCTTGTCCCTTATCCCAGGATCCATTTCATGCTTTCCTCCTATGCCCCTGTTATTTCAGCTGAGAAGGCTTACCATGAGCAACTATCAGTGGCTGAGATCACCAACAGTGCTTTTGAGCCCTCTTCCATGATGGCCAAATGTGACCCACGCCATGGAAAGTACATGGCTTGCTGCCTCATGTACCGAGGTGATGTGGTACCCAAAGATGTGAATGCAGCTGTAGCCACCATCAAGACCAAGCGCACAATCCAATTTGTCGATTGGTGCCCTACTGGATTTAAGTGTGGTATCAACTACCAGCCACCGACTGTTGTTCCAGGAGGAGATCTTGCCAAGGTGCAGAGGGCTGTCTGCATGATATCCAACTCAACCAGCGTTGCAGAAGTGTTTTCCCGCATTGACCACAAATTTGATCTCATGTATGCCAAACGTGCCTTTGTGCACTGGTATGTTGGCGAGGGCATGGAGGAAGGAGAGTTCTCTGAGGCTCGTGAGGATCTAGCCGCACTGGAAAAAGATTACGAGGAGGTTGGTGCAGAGTCTGCTGAAGGAGATGAAGGGGATGAGGGTGATGAGTATTGAGTATTGAGGGCAGAAGTACCTTCATATGTTTGCTACTGTGATGTTTTTTTCTTGTTTCTTTGGGTGCTTGTTATCAGACTTGGTGGTGAAACTGGAATTGTTCTTGGTACCTTCGGGTTATATATCCAGTTCATGGTATTTTTAATGAATAAAAGTTAAAGGCTTTACTATATGAGAAATTCCCTTTGTTTTAAGTTTGCAGACATAGATCAATTAATTTTGATAATAAATGAAAGAGTTAATGTTACAAGTTATTACTAATTTATAATAAATATTTAATATGATATATAAAATTTAAAAATATTTAATGTAATATTTAAATTATGAATTTCATACTTAATATAATAATTATATTTAAATTATGACATAGATCAATTTAAATGAAAATGCATAGTGGATGACTTTTTTTAAGTATTATATTAAACTGACCCTTAAGTCCCTGAGGCACATGATAAGCCGAAAGATAAAATACCTTCTATTAATCACGGCCCAACCTTTGTACACAAAGCTGCCATAAGCTTTTCTCACACCTCATTTACGTCTGGACTCTAATAACGGCCCAACTTTTGGACAAGGCGGTTCTCTATTTCGATTCTCTTCTTCATCAGTGAGGCATACTTGGAAACCAGATTCTGGTCTCCAGCAGCCATTGAGAACTTACAGCTCAGGGATGTCCTCTCCAAGTCCTTATACATAGATGAGATTGGCACAAAACTGCCTTTCTTGCTGCACAGCCAACCATGAGCAGCCCTCAATGCAGCTCCTAGAGAAGCTGAGTCTGTCAAAGTAACAAAGTGCAAGGAAATTAGGTAAGTCATGTGCTATACATTTCGGAGCCGGTACAGCTCTAAAGCATGATATTACAAAACATGAGAATGGCTGAGTTCATGGGCTAAAGAAAGGTTCAAACTAGATATAATTTATTGTAAACGAGTGCAGATGACAAATATTGCAACGACATACCAGGTCTCCGGACAGTATAAATATCACAGCCAAAAATGGATGCAATTGAGCTCAGAATGCTTTGATTTGCTGACGCTCCACCAGTAGCAATGATTCGTTTTGGAGGAGATGGCATTCCAAATCTTTCTGCATGAGCACGCATTGAGAGAAATTGGCCCTCAATCAAGGCACGGACCTGCAAATAAATCCATTGCTTTTCAAAAAAGAGCTATGGTAGAAAGTCATTAGTATATAACACCAAATTATTTCGTGAGTAATAATTACCTCGGAAGGAGGATCAAATTCTAGCACTTCTTGTTCATTCAAGCCATCCAGAGTCTCACCAGTGAAATTTTCAAGAAGGTAGTGATGAAAGCCAACTGAATCCACAAAAAAGCTTTTAGATGATTATTTGGCTTGGGAAATATGCAAACTTGAGCAGGTTGAAGATTGCTTAGCAATATAAATTATCATGAAAATATGCTTCATTCCAGGTTGCATGTGATCACTATATAAAGTTATCCCATCATAAAAATTTCCTATCTTGTTCATGTGAATTCCAGCATTCAATTGACTGGAGTGCAGGCCAACTAATAACCTTCATGTATTAGTAGCAAAATAACTATGGAATTAAACAATTCATTCAACAGGTGATCTCGTTACTGAAACCTTAAAAATGCAAGAATGAAAAAGTTGAAACCCACCAGGCAAAGGAGGAAGAATCTCATGCTCCTTGTAATAGAAACCTATCTTCCCACCTGTTGCAGAAACTAGAATGAGAAATAAAGAACAAATAACTTTCATATACATGAAACGTCATTAGAAGAACATATTTACCGACCATTTAGTGGAGGAGTTTGCTCCAGATACTTGTTAAAAACATCCCAAGATTTCTCAGCATAGCGATTCCGTACATCTAAATTAACATGGAGGCCATGTTAGATAAAGAAAAACCAGCTTAATCTCAAACAAATAGGAAGGAATTTCTGAGACCTTCACGTGTCAGAGACCCATTTTTGTAGACCAACATAACCATGTAGCCTTCTGTATCAACAGGATTTGGGAAAACATGTCCTTCCAAACTTGGTTGAGGGTCCTTAGTGATCCCAAAGACCTGAAACAAGGATGGGCAGATAAAGTTAAACAATGAGAACTTTCAAGCCTTGCAAGTTCATTTGCAATGAGAATCAAGTTGAACAATGGGAAATTGCTGTCCCAAACATGCATAGAATAACATCTGAATTCATTTGCACAGTAGACTAAACAATGAGAACTTGCAAGCCTTGCAAAATGCACCTAGTGAGGAAAACTGAAATATATTACAAAAAAGGAAATCAAAGTTCTCAAAGAGAAAACCAGTTCCAGTGCTAAATGTTATTTGATCCGTGTGTTAGATGGTTCCAGAATATGTTCTTGGTGATAAAAGAAACAAGAGCTTGTAGTGCTTAAAGTTCAATTTGTTCAAGGAAAAAAGGAAAAAAAATTCTTTAGTGCAGAACAATTTGACAATTTCCAAAGGAAGAATTTATGTCAATGCAAAACATATTGAAAAGTTTTAGAAGCTTCCTGAAAACAAAGAAACACAAGAAACATGAAGGAAAAGATTGTTACCAGTAATACATGCAATCAGAACCCTGAAAAACTCTTCCAACAAAAGAACACTCCCAGTAAGTGGTATTATCATAGACGAAAGCAAGCAAAAACTTCAAGGAAGACTGAGACATGCACTCTGTCAAGTAGGAACCACAACTTAAATTTTCACATAGGAATCTTTGTAGACAAGACATGGGACTTAAACGCACTAAAAGGTTCAATGATGTTTCTTATGGCTTTTCCAAGAATGAGAGCAAGCATGGAGATTGTTACTGATCAAATAAAGAGGCATAAAGAGCACTTACAGTGTCGCTGGTACCCAAACTGATTGCAAGATCCCCAGGAGTGTTTAGGGTTAAACCTGCAACCCAAAAGTTTTTAATTGATGAAAACCTACAACCAAAAGAACTACAATGTTCTGCACAAAGTTATGCAATAAATGCTAATTCCTTTCATTTTCTGTTGGCTGGGGAGATAAGCCAATGAATGTATTAGCAACCAAATCAAGATAGAGCTTTCGAGGACTTGTAAAGACAAGAAAAATGCTTAATTCTGTCATAAAATAGATTCAACATTTCCACCCCAAGAAACTAGCATAAATTGACAACAAAACTCAATCAACAAATGAGGAAGAGACTACTTTCACAAAAAATTGATTTTGTGTTAAAGTTGGAACTGAAGTTCATATGTCATGAATAAGCTAGCTCATTTAAGGCAAACAAGCATTGGAGTGAATTCTCTACAAAATAAGATGCCATCCTTCCTACATTGTCAATAACAGAATGAGATAATTTAGTCTGTTACAATTATCTATTTATTTTTCATCTATTGTTATTTTTCTCCCACCATTACCTGAGTTCTTAATTAATCATATTATCTCCACCCATCATACCTGATGAATCTTTAAGGTTCCATTTGGAAGGAAGGAAAGTAAGAAGAAAGGAAGCTTTTATTTTTCTTCTATTGTTACTTTTCTGCCACCATTACCTGACTTCTTAATTAAACATATTATCTACACACATCATATTAATGTTTTGAACTATGATGTTGCATTGAGTCAGATGTGCATACTGGGTACATGTGCATACATTTGTCTGGCTGTTTTCACTCCAAAGACCATCAAACAATATGGAGAGTTTGTAAATTGAAGACAAGATCTGAGCTTTCAAAATAGAGGTATTCAAACATTCGTTTACACGTCTTCACCTTAAAGTAATAGATTAAAATTTTGAGAGGACAGAATAATAGTTCTTAAATTAATTAAAAATACATGTTAGGAAGGAGTACCACTAATGTACTAGAACATTAGGGATTGATTAGCAAAGCAGAGCATAATTGAGTAACCAGATAACAATCTTATAAAAAATTCAATTTATAATAGAACAAGAGAGTCATGGACCTGCTAAACTGTTAGGATTGTCTCCAGACCACTGAACCACCAGACAATTCTTATTGAAGTTAAACCTGAAAAGACATTAATGAGTGTCATGCTGTCTCTATACCTATAGATACACATGCACATGCATCAACACACAACAAGGTATTTTGATTATCATCATAGCATGCTGAGGGGAACATATGCCACCATTTACTGTTAAGAGCTTGTCTAAATGAAGTACACAACCACTGCCCACTATTAGATACATAGATGCAAATGCTTTACCAATATACAGACTTAAGCACTAACAATTTGAAGTACTGAATACATCTAAAAGTAGAGTGGTATTCATCGCTACAAGGAAGCATGTATAGCAGACGATGCAAATGGTATAAATTTAATATGGAATTCAACCCAACATCATGTTGAAATGTTAGCAACAGGTCAACAAAGGCAAACTTTTAGCACGCAATATTCTACTAACCTCTCCACAAAATATGAAGCTATAGAACCAGCAACAGCATGAGCAGGAGCTAGCTTTCCAAGCTTTTCCTCCAAACCCGGAGCTGTAGCCTGCAACAAAGTTGAAGTTTAACAATATCATCAATTCCACAAAGGGCTTAAAAAACTGAAAATAACATCCTTAACATAAGAAATTCAATTAACAAGAGTCAGGGATTAAGAAACCACAAAAAAAAAAGCATTTGGATAGCAAGCCAATCAAACCTCTAATGCAACTTTAGACCAAACCCTTTGCTTTATATCCATCAAATTCATCCCCGCACCATCAGTTTCATCAATACAAGCGTATGCCCCTATAAATAGACATGCCATGAAAGAGCTAACAAGAGAGATCCTCTCAGTATTCTTATAAACTACTGGTTGTGTCTCAAATATCTTCCGAATTTGTGGTCCTGTATATCTCTCGTTAGCACGAGAACCAGTAATTTTAGACAATTCCAATGCACCTCCAACAGCTTTCTCTATTTCCCTACACTGAGCTGTGGTGCTGCAGTCCATCCATATAGGTGATTCATTAACAGAAAAGGCATTGCCAAGCTGATCAACTAATGGCTTCCTGGGGTCCAATGATGATAATAACGCAGAACTGCCATTCTTCCAATAAACACTGCCATGTTGCTGTCCACTACCAGAAACGGCAGCAATTTTCCCAAAATCCAAATTGGATTTAGATAGTCTTTGAAGAATGAGATCCAAAGCCTCCACCCACATTATGGTGGGTGAAACAATTCTTCCATTAACAGAAGAGTCTCTATAAACTCCATCCCTGGTCTTGTAATGAGGCAAATCAGAGTCAAAGTTAACTAGCTCTGAAGCAACAATAACGAGATTGGAGTCCAAAACAGTTGCCTTCAACGACCTTTACACAAGGGGGAAAAATTAAAGATCAAGGCGCATCTCAAATTTTCAATTCATTGTAAATAGATTCTAATTTTTTAAATAACAGAATTCTCAAGAATAACAAAATATCAACCAAAATCAATTGCATATGCATTAAACCCTGATCATAAAAGCTTACAAAAAATCAATCTCTTTACAGCATAAAAAGAACAAATATGCAATTTGGTTAAATGGGTGTTTCTAGTTTTGTCTTAAGATTAAACCTTGATCATAACAGCCTCAAAGGTTCAACCTTTTAATTTAAAAAAAAAAAAAAAAAGGTTTTTTGAACATTATAAGAGCAGAAAACACAACTAGGCTAAATGGGTATTTTTGGTTTTTGCTTAGTGACATTGGATCATGAAACTAAAAGAAGATAAAGAGAGAGTTACTGAGTAGAGCTGTCAAATCCAAGGAACAGAGCATCATTAGGAAGAGATAAATCTGCCATATTTGAAAACAAAAAGCAACCCAATGGTCAAGCGAAATCAAGAGGAAGCGGCAATGCAAGCTTGACTCTGGTGTTTTAGTTGAATAGAAAAGGTAATTAAAACGGGAAAGAGCCTCTCCAAGAAGTTTGCACCTAAATGCACTTCCAACCATATGGTAGATAAGGGTACGGGAGATTTTTGTCGTGTAAAAGATTTCGGAGAGTTGAAAAGTTTGTCCAATCATCATTATCCAACACGAATTAATTTTTCTGTTGAATTTTAGTCAAACTTTGACCAAACAGAAACCTATTGATAACGGAATTCTAGTTGACGTTAAATGCGGTTCGGCCAGAAAGGCTTTGTCAGTTCGCCTCGCCGATAAGGTTATGCCACCTCAGCATATCTGTATTGGTTTATTAAGTAAATTTTTTATAGATATTAAATTTAATTACCCCTTAAGCTTAAGTTTAATTAAATTTAATTACTCCTTAAGATTAAAATATGTACTACTTGTACATTTTAGGAATTTGCCACACTATTCTTGCATCAGTTGATTATTAATATTCACGTATTACTACTATAAAAAATAACAAGTAGTTTCAGTGTTAATATATTTTTCTGTGATAAATAGTATGTTGGCCAATATTTTTTGTAACTCTAGGAAAATGGTGGTTTGAGGTGGTATTTTCTATGATTGGATTCACTAGTTAGGGTGGTAAATGCAATCGATTGTTTTAAATCTTTTACTTGGAAAACTTTCATATTAAAACGTGTGATTTAATCTTTTAAAGATATATTTTTATAATATAATTTTTATAATTATTTTATTATTAAAAAATTGAAACAAAAAATAATAATTAAGTTCCTTGAATATTGTGATGGACCTCGATTTGAGTAGGGTCATGCGACCTTTGCATATCAATAACAAATTGCAAAATTCCATTAACTTGATCTCTAACCTTATGAGAATTATTATATTTTAAAGAATGGAATGGAGGCAAATGGATAATGAGCGTTAGAAGAAAATGGTACTATAATTTCAACAAATTACCATCATATTGCACAACTCTCACAGGCATTCATATAGACGCATGCTCCTTGTTGTCCCATCTCATAGTAATCTTAAGTTGATACCATCAAAGTACACAAGAAACATAAGAAGGATGACATGCACAGTTCAAAATAAACAGACAATACAAAAATGGCCCATACCCTTGCTGCAAGATCAGGGTTATGAAACCTAGGGATGTAAATTGCAATCTCCTGGACAGTGCCCGACATGACCACCGGCTATACTTCTGCCGGGTGTGGCTTTGCATCTGGTGACTTCCTTGCTTGTACACTTTTATTATTCAAACCAATTAACAACCCAAGACGTCGTAACATATGTAATCAAGTATCTACAAATCTTGCATCCCTCTTTAGTTTTCACTCCGAAGTAACAAAATCCAGCATCCTCCTCAAACAAAGGCTAACAATGAGCCAAAATGAAGATATATTATTCACAAATCAATATATTTATGTAACAAACTTGGGGGACATTTCCTAGGTATTTGTCTACCAAACAGAAAAGCGGGCAATTGGGATTGAGGGCTGAGGTTTATTTGGAAAAAATGTAGGCTCAAAGCTTTACAGCTATGGCTGAGATTGGAGGCCATTCTATTTTTGTCTCCATGGACCCTTTCTCAAGATCCATGGGCTTGGTAGGTCTGCTCTAGAAATTAACTACTAACAAGGTAAAAAATTCAAGCTTGGATGGAAATTTAGTCTTGTTTAAATCAAGGATCAACAAAGGTTTTTTTTTTTTTTTTTTAAGGTATTTTGAATTATAATTCAGAAAACGAGAAAGTTTATATATTCTTTCGTTATATAACTTAAAATTAAGAATAAAAATTTTATATTCATAAAATTCGATCTTTTTAGGAAATATTTTAAAATTAAATTTATAAGTACACAAGATTGATACGAAGGAATTCACTTTTTAAATCGTAGACAAAATAATATACCTATAATCGCATTTTAAAAAATTTACTCTAACAAACTTAAATTTTGCATGTATCAAATAGGAAAAATCAAAGGGATTTGATCTTTTCATGTGCGAAAATTTGTCAGACTCATGGGAAGTATATGATATCTCCAAGATTGTCAGATTCATGTTTAAGATATACAGAATTTCTGTTACCTGACTCTTCAAACAAGTTGCTACTACCTGTTAAGTTATTGTCCTAACTTAGATACCAAGTGTTTAAAGAAAATTTTCCATATTGGTTTAAAATTAGGTCTCGAGCTTATTGGCACTAACTCTCTTGAAGAACATAATATTAATAAGAAAAAAAGAGGAAAGATGCCAATGAGATCCAGGATCATGTCTACAAGCAGAAGCACCCAAGGAGATATGTGATAAACAATTTAGGAAGAAAAAAAAAATTAAAGCAAAAGCATATGAAGGATTGGGTTTCATCTTATTCCCACACTAACACAAATTTTAGAATCATCTCGAACTAGTCCTTGTATACGCAAAAGGTTCTTTTTTACGTGTGCGCGCGTGTGTGCGTGTTTTTTTTTTTTTGTCAGTGCTTCAGTCTGAGGACCTAGACATGAGAATTTGTTCTTCCGCACTTGCTTCCAAGGAGTAGAATTCATCGATCTTTAATTTTTTCGGTTAAAAAATTTTGATGTCAGTGAGGTTATACAAAATAATAAAAGGCTTTTGGCATCTTTTCGTCTCTCTCATCATTCACAATCATCCATCTAAAAGCAAAGGCTTTGATTCACCACACAAACTGAGAATGCTCCTGTGCATGCATATATATCCACGAAACAACCTGCTGTGACTTGGACTTTGAGTGGATTGAATTGGTACTTAGAATGACATAAAGTTGATGTGAACAACGAGAAAATTGATAACACAACTGAGACATGTCACTGTAAACCTGGTCCCGGCTAAATTTTTTTTTTTAAAGTGAAGATAAAAAGTTGTTTATGTTAAAATTTAAATTATAAATTTATTAAATAAAATTTTTAAGTAATTATATAAATTAATTAAATTAAAATTTTTAATTAATTACATTGTTTCGTTCATCCAAATTTCGAAGACATCGTGGTTTTCAGATGTCTTTGGATAATTGTTCCATTGAAGATTGAACCAACATGCGCGTGCTATAAGTGTGAAAAGTACCAGTTAAGATGAATGAATGTGACTTGCAAAAAAGGCCCAATTATTACAATCTTAGTGGCGATTGATAGAGGTGGCAACGAATATGCCTAGAAGCTATTGAATTGAGGAAGACTGAAACAAAATCACTATTTGGTGAAATGTTTTGTGTTTAAACCAATGCATTTTGTTCATGCACCTGGCAAGTTTTAGGTCAAGTCCAACATGTCAAGACTTCAAGTGAAAAACTAGACGTTTTTTAGTTGTGAATGCAAGACCAAAGCAATGAGTCAATGAAGTCAACCGATTTCAGCCTTGAGAATCCAAAATTCCACTTATAGTTTCAACCATTTTCATTTCATTCAAATACTGATGTCAATAATTGAACTTGAATTGATCCATGCTCCCGTACGTATGCTAAAAACAAAGAAGTGGTTCGTTCCTCACATGTGTGAACACGAAGAAATAAAGAAGAATGGAAAAGAAAAAGGACTGAGCACAAAAGGAAGAGCACTGTTTCAGAGATCTTGTCCAAGGTCAATCTCTGAAAATGGCTGCAATTAGCGACAACAGTGACGAGGCGACCAGTGACACCGTAATATATTCCAACCAATAGTACTAATTTTCCAGTGTATTACCATCTGTTAACTTCTCAACTTGAAGTAAGCAAAGCTGGAGTCAATAATAACAGCCTGTCGTTTTCTGATTAGTTTCGGATCATATTTTTAATGTTCTGGTTTCAAAGCATTGTCCCTTGGAAGAATATTTGCAACTTTGAGAATTCAGACATTGATTTATAACATCTTGCCTACAATTTCTAGCGTATGGTTTTTAATGTGTTTTCTCCTTGTTACGTTGATAGGGAAAGTATCTTTTCTCTTGCATATATCCTTTGTTTAATTCATCAGCTTTGATTATCTGGAATGTTGAAATTGCCAACCAAATCATCAGGCAATGAAAGTTCCTTTACTGTTATTGCCTTAGTACAAGGACTGAATTTTCAATAACATCTTGTCTCAAATTAACAAAATTTTCAAAGCTAAATGAATTATCTGAGCCAAGTATAGACCTTTTTAATTTTTTTTTTCTAATCAAAATATGTAAGATTATGGAAACGAAATGCATGCGCTCTTAAGATTCAGATAAAACTTGGGATAACCCTAATCATATTATTGAGAAAAAAATATATATCCAGAGTTAGGAATTAGGGAATTTAGCCAGTTAGGGACTGTATCAAGAAATATCAGAAAAGGGGCCATGATTTGGAAGCTTGCCATTACAATAAGAAAGTAAAGGTATCACTGTAGGGGATGTAAGACCAGGCCACACGCTTTAATGTGTTGTCTCCTATGAAATGTGAAAGCAGGCCCCTATCAAAAAAACAAAGTCATGGAACTTATGATTTATCGAGAGCCCCCCATTACAAGCACGGTTCGCGGTTGTGCTGAAAGGTTGCCAAATTCCATGGTTAATGTGAGTAGCATACTTGGAAAAGAGCTAGACTAAAATAAAATAAAATAAAGCAAGAAATTCTATTGGATCCAACATATATGAAAAGCAAACATAGTTTACTCTCCCTCCAACATTGGGGCCGACTCCCTAGTACAATAATAATTGTGATAATGGATCCATTATTATTGTAATCGTTTCTTCTGATCTTCACATTGTAGTGGTAGAATGTTTTATTAATGCAAGTCGGTTCAAAAATGAATTTGTAGATGATATTATAATTATTAACATTATTAGATCACTTGGGAGTCAAGATGTGCAGCAATGATTCACCAAAAACCTCATGGAAGCATACATTGCGATTTAGGACCATTACTTTAAGCACTTAACGCATAAAAAAAATGAAGTTAGCCTGAATCTGATACTCACCACCATTGCATGTGGAGGGGTCAATGAAATTTATAATTACATGTGCTCCTCAGTGTCTTTGGGAAAAGTTGCTAGCATCCAACTTAGCAAAGAAGAAAAAAAATGGAAAAAAAGACCAAAGAGTGGCATGGTCAAAACCAGATTCTTTGGTGGTTAGCTTTGAAATATCACAATGGATGGTTACAATGTAATGCATATTTTACAAAACCAAAGTGTGGGGACAGCCGGTATACAAAGCACAAACGATGACCATCGATTGTGCCCAAAACCCTTTAAATAATTCCACTCCCCAGGCTCCAACCAAGCTTATAAATGCTGGCTTTATCTCTGAATTCCTTATCATTTCTTATAGAGCTTAAAAGCAGTTTTATTTTTCTTTCCTCTTCATTTATTTCCAAGCTCTACCCTGTTTGGACATTTGCCACAAACCAACCCTGCCGTTTGACCTTCCCTTCAACATCCTACTTTCTTTATTACTGCCCCACTTCCTCCTCTTACTCACTAACCATTTCAACTTGAACAGTTCAGGCAGCTTGAGAAAGAGAGGCAGGGATAGCCAGAGAGATGCAGAAGACCAGCATGTTCATTGAGCAAAACACTGGAGATTATGAGAATGGCGATATCCACAAGAACTTGGATGATGATGGTCGAGTCAAAAGAACTGGTAGTGACTTATTCGCCCCCCCCCCCCCCCCCCCGAAATGCTTATTAATTATTATCCTTCTTTTGCATGTTTTATGGGGCTATGTTATAAATTTCTTTTGATGTGGTTTTCAATTTTGATTTGCAGGGACTTGGCTTACTGCAAGCGCTCATATTATTACTGCCGTGATTGGCTCTGGAGTGCTATCTCTTGCATGGGCTATTGCCCAGTTGGGTTGGGTGGCTGGATCAGCTGTTCTCATGGCTTTCTCCTTCATCACCTACTTCACCTCTACCCTCCTTGCTGATTCCTACAGGGCTCCTGATCCTGTCCATGGGAAGAGAAACTACACCTACATGGATGCTGTTAGAGCTTACTTAGGTACTAAATATATCAGCAGTTAATCTTCACATTAGTACTTTCTCTACTATATAAGTGATTGTTTACCATTTTTGATTCGTACAGCTAACCTCTTTAGCCTGTTTACAGTTCCTAGAAACACTCCTTTATTGAATTTTTGAGTCAAACAAACTCAATTTTAATAAACATCAAATTCAATTCAATCACAAAATCCAACAGAGTTTCTGTCAGGATGATTAATGAAACATCAAATTCAATGTTTCCTGTTTTTGGTTTTTCCAGGAGGAAGAAAAGTCCAGCTCTGTGGATTGGCTCAGTATGGAAATCTTATTGGAATAACCGTTGGTTACACTATCACAGCATCAATTAGCATGGTGTAAGTATGGACAACAGACCGGAATTCGAAACTTTCAAGTTCGAAATTCTCATACCTTTCGACTAAATCGTTGAAATTTATAGTGACATGACAATGATTTTATTAATTGTTCTTTTGTTGTCTGCTATCTCCCTCATAATCAGCGCCGTCAAAAGGTCAAATTGCTTCCACATGCATGGCCATCACGTGAAGTGCCAAACATCAAACTATCCATTCATGATCATCTTTGCTTGCACCCAGATCGTTCTCAGCCAAATCCCAAATTTCCACAAGCTTTCATGGCTCTCAATCCTTGCAGCCATCATGTCTTTCACTTATTCTTCCATCGGTCTTGGACTCTCCATAGCCAAAGTTGCAGGTAATTAACAGCTGACCAGAAAGACAGAAATGCTCGCATATCCACAAAAAAAAACAGAAAAATCATTAATTAATTTCGTTCTGTTTTATTTATTTGATTTGACTGACTTGAATTTCATCTAAATCTAAATATTGTTCCGTGAACAAACATCAAGGTGGGGAGCATGTAAGGACAACGTTAACTGGAGTGACAGTAGGGGTGGACGTGTCAGGATCTGAAAAGGTTTGGAGGACATTCCAAGCTATCGGGGACATTGCCTTTGCCTACGCTTACTCCACCGTCCTCGTTGAGATTCAGGCAAGTATACGCGTGAGTGTATACACACACATATAACCAAGTATACATACATATATTCTATTGAGGAGGTCATAACCAAATATTTGTATAACAAAGTATACACATAACATAACAATATTTATGTATGCATATACATATATATATGTATATATACATATGCATTATTAATGCATATTTTTATAGAGAAAGTCATAATTTAAGGATAATAGAGATTGTAAGTGTTAAGATTTAAATTTTAAAGTTATTAAATATTATTTTTTAAGAACAATTGCATATATCAACTAAATCAAGTATCAAGTTTGAAAAATGTATTTATGCTTGTATAATATGTAGGTAGATATATGCATAAATTGTGCTGGTATATGTAGGTAGCATTATTAGAGCATGTTTTTTGCTTGTTACTATTAGCATAGGTAAATACTTTAAAATAAAAATGGAATAGAACATGTTCATGCGATAAAATGTATGGAAGTTGAAATGTGTGCCTGATTAAATGTTGGCAAGAAATAGTGGTAGTTCAAAAATAATTCTCGGAGGGTTGTCTCTCATTTTTCCAGATTCTTACACATAAAGAAAACCCTTTAAAAATCATAATGATTTTTTAGGTATTTTGATTTAGATTTATATACTACTTCCACGTCTATCCAAAAACGTATCATGTGAAATTACAAGTGTAAGAATCTTGAAAAGAAATAACAAGGGCAATGACTGAAAAACTTGACAATGCCTTTCGGTGGCCGTCCTGAAATGTGGGGACCAAAAGCCAGAGGCAAGTGGCATTTTCAGCTTGAACTTTCAGAGATGGAGGGCTTGGGAGAATTATCAAATTTACTAAACAAAGAAGTTTGGTGAAAAGAGCAGTTTCTTTTTGTGGGTTTTGATTTTGCTTACGCTAGGATGACGAGTTACAAAGATTCCTATGGACCATAGTGTTTTCAGAATTTGGGCCACTGATTCTGTTGGCTTTTTGTCAAAAAGAAAGAAGTGAAAGCTCAAGTTGTATTCTGTTGAATCGATCTTCGTTTGTCTACCGTTCTTTTTTAATGCGCTATGAATTATCATGAACCTGTTAGCGTCGGATTGTGACATCGAATCTGGTTGAGTTTCATTTGTTTTGTCCCATCTCAAAAGAGAATCACTTTTTTTTTCTAAGGAATATGGAACTTTATGATTTCAGGACACGATCAAATCCAGCCCACCAGAGAACAAATCGATGAAGAGAGCAACTGGCATTGGTGTCTCAACAACCACTACATTCTATGTACTTTGCGGCCTTGTTGGATATGCAGCATTCGGAAACGATGCACCAGGAAATTTCCTTACAGGGTTCGGTTTCTATGAACCCTTTTGGTTGATCGACTTTGCCAACATCTGCATTGCCGTTCATCTTATTGGTGCATACCAGGTAAAATCTCAAATCCTGACAAAATATATGTATATGGCATGAAACAAGTTCAATTCATTGACGACCTTGGCCTGACATGATTGAAATACATCCAGGTTTTTGCCCAACCGTTATTCGGGTTCGTCGAGGGCTGGTGCTCCAGACAGTGGCCTGATAACAAGTTCATTACAAGTGAACATGCTGTTGATGTTCCATTGTATGGTGTTTACTATCTCAACTTATTCAGGTTGGTATGGAGGACAGCATACGTTATTTTGACAGCCGTGGTGGCCATGATATTTCCTTTCTTCAACGATTTCTTGGGTCTTATTGGAGCAGGCTCGTTTTGGCCATTAACAGTCTACTTTCCAATAGAGATGCACATTGCACAAACGAAAATGCCCAAGTACTCGTTCAGGTGGATGTGGCTGAAAATACTGAGCTGGGTCTGCTTGATAGTATCACTCATTGCTGCCGCTGGATCTGTTCAAGGACTGATTCAAAGCCTCAAAGCATACAAGCCCTTTCAGATTCAGGAATGATCCTTGCCTACAGCTTTGCTCTGTGAAATATGTAACATTGTTCAATAAGAAATAATTAGTGGAAACTGTAATTTGTTCTCTTTTCTTCTGTATTGCAAATGGAAAACTGCTTGTATTGTGTTACCCTCTGAAAGATAATATTAAGACAAAATTTCTGCTATTGATGCTACCATACTGTAAATAACAAAAGCAGTTCTAAAGCACCATTCAAAATGGGTGACAGATCTAGCAAAGTCAACGATGCACTATATAGTTCTCAAAGGTTTAAACTCAGGTTATATGCAACATCATGTAATAAAGATAACATTTGAATTACCACATTAAGAATATGTCAATGATCAATGCCACATGTCATCAACATATAAGCGCATTTAAGTTTGTCCTTAATTGAAAGGAAGTTAGAGAATACAAGGATTAAAATGCACATCATTTTTAATTATAGATAAGTACTTTTACTATTATACAGGACAAAGTAGTTAACTCCAACAAAGAATTCATACTCAACAACAGATGATCAAGGGAAAGCTGATTGTACCAGGTCAACATGGAATCAAACTCTTATAGACTCGGATGCATTAACCATGTTTTTGTTACAGCAGTACCATCGGCAAACAGCGCCATCTGAAACAGTATAATAATAAGTATTTATCAAGGTAAAATCAAAATGCCAAATGTTCTCTAATCTCTATTGTATATATAGCTAACAATTGCCTCAGTTATATGACATCAAAATGCAACAAAACAAGTGACAATGCTTGATAATGTGCGAGAATGTTATTAAATAGTATTTATGTATTCACAGTCATTGAAACCTCACTGAATCCAAATGTTTATGTAAATCAAAAACAGTTTCCTTTCTTCTCAACCATCAAAGAACGAAGTACAAATTGATCACTAGTAAAGATCCTGCTGTGAGATTGAAGAGGAAGGCTTTACATATGGGACTAATTAATCTGCAAAGTATGAAATCATTCCCTAGCTAATTTCAAATAAGTTTCAGCATGCTCACAAAACTGTTAAGTCAGAATCCTGGCATTCTGCAAGCAGCATGATCTTCAAATCATTTGATGAGTTTTAGCAGCAGAACAAGGATCATACATCAAATCAGTTCCTTCAAAAACCTTGATATAATAATTAGAAAAATCAGTAATAAAACATGTAGTAAATATATCAAGTAGAATTGTACCAAGCATCAAATATGACCAGTTTCAATGGCCAAATTTACTTTTATTATAGGTCAATCAGATTCTGTCTCACTCATCACAAATGCGTTTGCTCTGGTGTTCCAGATATTATAATTGCAGTTTCAGTCGCCGAAGGCGTGGGTTCAGTAATTGTAATTTTTGCATCAGAAATCTGCAAAAGTGATTTTAAAACCAGTATCACTTCCATTCCACCTCTCCCAATAACCCATTGTCTCATCTTAAAACTCACATTGCATATTTTGGAATGAATCTAGAACATACCATATCAATGGTGAAGAGCAAGTCATAGCTTTCTAATCCATGGATTCTTTAAGTTCGACATTCTAGGGCCAAATCATTTACTCAAAATAACTGGGAATTCGAGCTTTTGGGACCCTTTAACACTACATTCAAAACTTAAAATTCATGTAGCTCCCGTTCAAAGTATAGAACAAAGAAACAAACTCTAACAACTAACTCATAACAATAACAAACATTAAAAACGATAGTATAATTAAGCAATTGAAGGACGAAAAGAACTCACCGTTTATTCGATAATTCAAGGAGCAAAACCCAAAAAGAAAATCAACTTACTGACAGTTTCGGCGACAATGAGGATTTAGAATGATAACAGAAACAAGAGTTTCTCGGAATCCCAGGAATTGGTTTCCGTACTACTGTTTTTATTGTTGTGACGTTGGATGGGCTAGGTTTATTGGGCCCCTTTTAAAGGATGCTATGAGCTCACTTAGCCAAGCCCATGTCAATGAAATTTTTTTTAAATAAAAAATATTTTTTAAAAACTAATATAAAGGTTCAAAATCTTTAAAATTCTAGAATTACTTAGATAGCCTTTGATTTTATATTTCAATTAGAAACACATATTTGCTTAATTGGATTTATGAATTTATAAATTATTTTACAACTTAAAACTATAATTTTTTTTTAGATATATAAATTCAACTATACACATTGAATTATTGCTCGAATCACTAAATAAATTGTTACTTGCTTGAGTAATTAACATTATAAATACTTGCTTTTGCACAGCCCCTATATGAGTAAAAAAAAGTTGGATGATGTTAGATGTGTGCATAATTTTTTTAATATAAACTTACTTAATTGTCTCTAAATTTATATTAATGTTGTTACTTATTTATTTAGGTCTTTAAATAATTTCATTACTTGAGTTAATATCACTTAACTTTGGTGACATCGAATTCAATTGAATGTGCATTTTTAATGAATTTTAATCCATTCCGGTCCAATAAAATTTTTAAAAATTTAATATTAGGCTTAAAAAAAATTTGAGATTTGATTGAAGACAAATTTTAAGGTATTATGTCTCGAGCTAATATAAAATATATATTTTATTATTTATTTAAATTTATTTCTATATACACACATATATATTAATAAAATTATTATTTAGTATCCTAAATTAAGATATTAATTTAATAAAAATACTATATTTATATAATTAAGATATAATTTATATTAACCCTTCTCTGATTTTGGTGTCTAAATGCACGTCATTTATTTTAGCTCCAGATTCAAGGATATAAAGAAAAAAAAAAGATGTAATTTATATAAAAATAAAATTTTATGAATCTTATATTAAATTAAAATTATTAAATTTGAATTATACACGTATATAAAATCATAATCAAATATTAAAATAATATCTCACCCCTGCCCGACCGTTCCCAAACCTACCTTTAAGATACAAAAGATAAAACCTACATGAGCAGGTAACATATTTAATATTTAACTCGATACTCCAACTTCCCTTCAAGCTTACATGTTTCCCCTGTCTCCCTTAACCTCCTGTTTCATCCTGTTTGTTTATACTCTGTTTATTTTATTGTCATGACACTCCCCAGGCAATACCTTTGACGTCCTTTGACCTTGTTTTGGTGACAGTGCTGTTCACTTGTCAGTTATCGAACCCAATTTCGACGAAACTTCTCGACTAAATGACCGAAAAGTACATCAACATTAGGTTAGAAGAAAGTGAAAGGAGAAGGGTCGCTAAAAGACGAAAGACTTATATGTAAAGCAAAGTCGACAACGAATAATTCCTGTGATGGGATAGCGAAGTCTACCTTAAACTATGTTGGAACTTAACGTTTAAGTAGTTGCTCACAGTCATGCCTGACTTTTATATATATATGTTATAGAAGTTGCAACATAATTTGCAACAGTCTCCACACTCCACACTCTCTTGCATAAAACCACCCACTTTTTCACACTATACTATCAAGTAAACCAACGCCCACGTTCTTCATGACTGACCAACAAATCTTTTGACGTCGACTGACAATTGGACAAAATAATGAAAAAAAATATATTATTCAAAGATAAAAGAACTAAAAGATGTGAGAAGACTAAGTAACTTATGATTCGTTTAGAATATAAAATTATAATAAAATAAGATAATTTTATAAATAATATTAGATTAAATAATATTTTTTATCTATTATTTATGTATATAAAAATTAAGATAAAATAATTTATTTATTTATCAAACTTATATTTTTTAAATTTTGTATAATTTAAATTATTGATATAATTTTTAAGAATGTAATAAAACATGTAAATTTAATCTTATTGATTAAAAATATTGAATCTTCTCATGTAAAGAGTATGATTAATTTTCCTAATAATTTTATTTATTTTTTATAAATAAATTAAATATAATATAAAATAATTATCATCGTACTCAATCTATTATCTTATACATCAAATATGTCTAAAAATCGTTAACTTCATGTTGGCCTTTCTATTTTCCATAATTTGTTCATCAAATTTATTGTTGAAATATAATTATTTTAAAATTTATAAAGTTAATTATCAATTACTCTATTTTAATACAAAATGAGAAATGTTGAGAGATATCTCTAATTAGGGATTAAGCTGATACTTAAAAAATAATATTATAGTTAACACATTATCTTATATTGAATTTGGTAAAATATTATAATAAATATAAAATATTCTCTAAAAATAGCAATTTAATTATTTTTTGGAATAGTATATTATTTTTAATCGAATTCCTATAATCACTTATTAATGGTAGATCTAGCAATTTATATTTTCGTATTATATCTCGTATTATGTTTGATATTTCGTGTTGTATTCGGTGTTGTGTTTAATATTTGTCATTACATGAATTATTAAAATACAACATGACATAAATTATAAAATATGTTTAAATCTAAACATGAGCACAATATATTTATTATATGTATTACACGCGACACGACATGATTAACATATATATAATTAATCTATTTAAACATGACACGAATAATATGTATATACGTGAATAATATAATTAATATAAATATACATGAATAGACATAACTAATACTAGTATATATAAAAACACAGTTAAAATAATAATTATTTATAAATTATCCATAATTTATAACTTAATAAACTTGATATATTAATAATATAAAAAATACTTGCATATTAAAAAGAATAAAACATCTTGATACCTAGTTAATATGTATTTAATATGCATTTAAATTTTAATATATAACTATATTAGTTTTTAGCATCAAATTCAACACGATGAAATAATGATACATATGATTAATATTAATATTATTTTCATATTATTAATATAAAAAATAATTTTATAATAATTATTACATGAGTATCGTGATTAAATGTTTAAAACAATTTTTATATAGTATTAAATTGCTAATTAAGTATTATAATTAAAAGATTAAAAATTAAAATAATATTTATATTTATGTTTAATTAAAATAAATATAAAAAATATATTAAATATGTTAAACGTATACTCATAAAATAAGATTAAATTAAACATCTTTTTCATTTTAAGTCACATGTTAAACGTGTATTCGTGAAACACATTTTATTTAAACGTGTTTTTTATATTTTCTATGTGTTTAAAAATATCAATACATATAAAATATAAATTATATCCTGTTAAAATTTATGTTGATATAAATAAATAAAAAATATATTTTTAAAAATATATACGATTTTTTTCATGCCATTTTTATTTCATATTATTTTGTTATATCTGAAATTGCTAAATCTAATTAATGGGATACTACAAATATATATTACTATAATGATATATTAACAACAGTCAATAATATCCATTAAAGACATTTCTTAGTAAAATCTTTTGATAATAAGAAAACGTTAATCGGTACCTAATGGCATTGATTGAAAAGATATTTATTTCATAATAGAAATTTTGTAATAGGCGTCTAATGGTACCTATTAAAATGATATTTATTTTATAATAGAATAAATTTAATCGATGTTTAATTGTATTGATTAAAGTAATATTCAAGGAAATATTGATGTCTTATGGTATCAGTTAAAAAGTGATATTTAAAGAAAAAATTATAATTAATATATTATTTATTTTTTGAATTTAATGAAAATAATATATTAAATATAAAAATAATATGTAAAAAAATAATTTAATTATTTTAATCAGGTTAACTTTTTATAATAAAAACCAAAACTCCATAAATTAACTAAGGAAAATAAAAACCAATTCATTAAGAACATTAAAACAAAAAATTAAAAAAAGAAAACATTAGTCAATAAAAAAGAAATGAATTTTATTTTTTAAAAATATAAAATCTTCATCATGGAATAAATATGATTATTAGTATGAAATTCTTGAATTCTACTTTTTGAAGACGCAGGGTTCGAATCAAATAAAGGAGAAAAAAGGAAAATCAAAAGTCAAGAAGAGAAAACAAAATTAGTGAATAGTCTCCATCGGACGTGGCATAATTAACTAAACAAATCGAAAAGCTACTTACCCAGCAAGTTAGCTCTTGACAATTCTTCGCCCTCGAACGTTTGTTGGGGGCCCAAAGGAATCCGTAACGTCTCAATTTAACCCGTATATGAATTATCTAAAATACCCTTATTTAGTTCCCACCAATCGATCTTAACGTTCCTGAAACAAAGGGCTAATTTGTAGTTTCATAAAAATTAAGCCCTAATACCACAAGGATTTCGTTTCGGCGAGTTTATAAATTGCGGGTTTCAACTTGTTTCACTTCAGATTCTACTGGTTCTCGTGTTTTTTGTTTGAGGATATTGAAGGATTTTTTGTAGCTTCAAGAAACTCATATGGCTCAACAAGGAGCAACAGCGGCGGCGATGACGAAGAATCTGGTGGAACCTATTATAGTTGGTGTTCCTCCTCCACCGCCATCGTTCTCCTCACCGAAAAGTCCGAGGAAACCCGTCGGCCGTGGCTGCAGCGTCCAATCTTGTTGGTCGAAACGAATTTTCTCGCAGAACAACGCGAATATCGAACGAAGCGCAGTTCCGTCGCGGTTCATGTACTATCGCAATGATGTGTGGATGGATTTCTCGGCTGACGTTTTGGAAACACTGCGAACAGGTTTCTTGGAGCGGAAACCGATTATCGAAGCATCGATAGACGGTGAAAAGTATATATTTGATTTGAAGAGGATGTTGCAGATGGATTACTTGACAGGAAATTGCCGCTCAATTTCTTGGATCGATGAAAACGGCAAGTGTTTTTTCCCTAACGATTTTTTCAGCGAAGATTATGATATTGGCTGCAATTACAAAAGTAAGAATAATAATTGCAATCCTAAGATTGATCGAACTTCATCGAAGAGAAAGCGAGAGGAGGAGCCTGAAGTGAGTTCCTCCTACAAAGCCGGGGGAGCTGCTAAATGGCCTAATATGAAGCTGTTGAGAGAAACAGAGAGAACGTATTTGCTCGTTAAGAGTCATTTCTTGAACGGAATGAGGAGAGTTGATGACGGGGTTATGGTTACTTCGATTCATCAGCTTAAGAGGGAAGGGCATTTGATTAAATCTCGTCTCGAGGTTTTATTGAAGCAGGTTGAGATTACTAAGGCTGCAAGAGGCACTTCAAATATGGTTTATGCATGGTATGGGGCTTCCGCCAAAGTTGTGGAGACTATTCTGGCTTATGGATTTGGTTTGCCCAGTAAGGTTCCCGCTACTGATTTGTACGGAATTGGCGTTTATTTGTCTCCCGTAGGTTTGCCGCACTTGAGGTAATTGATTTTGTCTTATGTTTATTGTCCAATTAGCTACCGTAGTGGCCTAGGCAGTATTGTCACGTTTACCATTGAGTTCGAGATTGAAATCAAGTTAGCTTCAGTAGTAATTCAAGCCAAATTCGTGCAATTCTAAGTTGTGGCTTGAGCAGTTCTGCAGCTCAATCTAGTAGTTATTTAGTATCTTATAGTTATGTCATATTAACACCATTCGAGCTCAAGGATGAACGAACAGACTAGTTTTGATCAGTTCGCCTTGATAGGTTTAGTTACTTCTTAATAAACGAATTTTTTTTCTTTTTTTGGTAATTTAACTTTTATACCGTGCTTTTAATGTTGGATTAATTGTTGCAGTGCAAATCTGACAAATGTTGATGATAATGGTGTAAGGCATCTTATTCTGTGCCGGGTTATATTGGGAAATGTTGAAAAAGTGGAAGCTGGATCTCAACAGTATCACCCATCTAGTATGGATTTTGACTCTGGTTCTGATGATCCCAAGAACCCAAGGTGGTATGTGGTATGGTCATCTAATGCCAACACGCGTATTCTTCCTGAGTGCGTTGTGAGTTTCAAACCTTCTGGTAGCATGCAAGGTGAACTTTTCTACTTCCTTGGTATCCTTTTTTTTCCTTTATATATTTCAGAAGTTAATAGGATGTCGTCTTGTAGGTCAACCAAGGCCAGTAATGGGTGTCAAGTATTCCCTTGACAAATTGTTTTCGAAGATTATGGGCTCTATTCCTCCTGTCAAAGTGCAGGAAATATTGATTTCATACAATACATATAAGGTAAGTAGGTTGCATGTCTATTAGATGAAGATGTTTCTTGTTGCTTGTAATGGAAGTTCCCTTTATAGTATAAACAGATTTTGATTTTTTTCAATTGTTTATAGCAGGCTGGAATGGTGGCCCAGGATGCTTTTATGAGGAAATTACGATTGGTTGCTGGGGATGAGGTTTTGAGATCTGCTATTCAGGAAATTATTGCTTCTGGATGATTTGGAAGTGTTGGCATTGTTTGAGTTACTTATTTCATTTTCCTATCTTATTGGAAAAAAAAAGGCTTAATACTAATATACTCTCAAATCTTACTAAAAGATGGAATTAAACCCTGGCTTTTTATTGTGTGTAAATAAAGTTATAATTTTGTTTATTTATTTGTAATTATAACCATAAGCTTTTAAGATTAATGAAAAAAGTCTAATTAGAATAATGGAAGACTAATTATGACTTGTCACGTGTTTGCCAACGGTGCTAGATAACAAATGTTAATTTTAAAAGTTCTTCCAATTGGATTTTTTAATTGATTTTATAGAAAAATAAAAGATTCTAGACTTATTTACACGTAATAAAAGATTAGGGTTTAATTCCATTTTTTTCTTAAGTTTGAGGGTATATCTGGGTGTTAAGCCAAAAAAAAAAAAAGACAAATGTAATTTTTACCTCACTATTAAGATAGGAATGAAAATTATTAGATCACAGAAACAACAAAAATCATTCTTAGTTTTTCTTGGGGAGGGGGTGTGTTTCTTTTTTCTTTTTTAACCCACAGCAGTACTTGTAGCAATCATGATTCAAGACATTAAAAAGTTTACAATTTCAGTTTCTGAATTTGTATTTCCCCTTTTCACTATCAACTTATTGCACTTTAGGCTTTATCTAACAATTGTTAAATGCTTAACAATTCATTGGTATTGAGAATTTTATAGTTTGTATTGCACTTTAGGCTTCATCTAACAATTGTTAAATGCTTAAAAATTCATTGGTATTGAGTATTTTATAGTTTGGTTGTTTCCATTGTAACTTTTTTTCTGTTTAGAATAACATTTGATGTGGTTTTATGAAGTTGTATTTTTTGGCTTTTAGTATTGTGGTATAAAAGGGGATTTATTTGGACCTGTAGTATGATCTAGTGTGTGTTGTGACTTTTTTCCCCCTTTATTCCTTTAGGCTTAACTAAAGGTTGTCAGTTCAAAGAACCAGATGATTATTGATTTTTTATGAAATTGTACTTTATGGCTGTTGTTGTTGTAGTTCAAAGGGATTTATTTGTATATGAATAATTAGAAAGTAGAAACTATGATCTCATTCCATGTTTGTTTATTTTTAATGTGGGATAAACATGTCGCCTGTCTTTATGTGGTTTTGTCCATTTTGTTTTATAGAAAGTAAATTGCTGTATCTTTTCTTCTGTTTGAAGCAGCAGATGATTAGAAATATTAAATGGTTTTGTTGGAATTGTTCTGTTGTCTTTTCTTATCGTATTTACCCTCACGATACGTTGTCAGACCTACTTAATGAGGAAGGGAAACCTACTTGAACGATAAACTAAGCTATGTTAATTAAGTACTGAGCTTCTTTTATACTGTATTCAGGTGTTGATTTGCCTCCATCCATCTTTATTTATTTATTTTTGTGTGGTTTAGGGTTCTTTTATGGAGAACTCACTGGGAAGTCTTTTAGTAGCCATGACAAGGTTGTGGAAGCTGCCCAAGGCATGTAAGATGGCAGGGGGTTTTGGCTAAAGGCTTAACAAGGTTTTGAATAAGCCAGTTTGGCTGGCATGCTATGCATGATTTCTTTTTGACATGTGCAGGCGTTGCTCTTGAATTATTTTTATTTGCATATAGATGTGGTAGGGTATTTTTGGTGTACTGTTCACTCTTACTTTATTTGCCAAGATTTTTGAAAAATCCTGATCAAGTTGCATTGATCCAAACATTAATTTATTGGGTGCAAACAGTAGTATCTGCCTGGATGAACTAGAGATACTGAAAATAGTTGTACGCTCTCTTTTGTTGCCCCCGGTTGTGGAGCATGCTTATAGGTAGGATTACTACATTGAGACCGGTTCTAGGTTTAATAATATGCATACGTTACAGGGTTGTATCTAATGTTTATAAATAGGAAAACATACTGTTGATGACATGTATCATGGTACATTACCGGGTTTGAAGCTGGTGAAAGATTTTTGCATCAAGCATTTTGCGTCAATTGCTGGAAACATAGGTCCTTTTTTATATTTCATTTTGTTTCCATGTTATTGTGGCATTTGATGTTATCTTTGTGTTGTTTTTTGAAGTGAAAATCATTGTGGATTGTCCAAATTTCATGGCCTATGAGCTTTAGGAGGCTAGGGAAGTTAATTTTTTGTTCTTCCATTAGTTTCATTTTGAGAGCCTCTGACTGTTTGCTGCCCTAGAATTGATTTTTTCTTACCCATGTTTCTACAGATGAATATGTTTGCTCCTCTAATCAGAACAATACCATTTTCCTTTTAATATGGAAAGAAGAGAGCTAATTTTGCAAGAGGAATGCTCTCTGTTTCTCACCATGGGCCATGGCCTGTATGTAAGCGCGAAATATCTTTGATTCTTCCATTTTTCTTTTTTAAATTTCAAATTCCTGAATAAAGGACAAACGGTCAAATAAGCCCAATCCGACGTCGCATGCTTAAGTAAAAAATGCCACGTAGCAAACAAACGGTTATTGCGGGCCCCAAAATTCCTAAACGGCCTCCAAAATATTTATTACCAAAAACAATTCATTTCCCTCGTTAGAAGTTAACGGTACTGGAAACGAAGACCTAATTTGTAATTTCAGAAATATTCTACGTTGCGTCCCAATTTCTCACACTGCCGGTTATACCTGTTCTCATGCTTTTTCGTTTGAGAATTTTGAACAGTCTCTGTTTCATTTGTTTCAAGAAACTCAAATGGCTCAGCAAGGAAAACGAAGAGCGGCGATGACTAATAATCTGGTGGGTTCCGATAGGCCATCGCCGTCATTCTCTTCACGCCAAAAACCGAGAAATCGCACCGCTGGGTATTTCGAACGGAGCGCGGTTCCGTCGCGCTTCATGTACCATCACGATGATTCTTGGGTGGATTTCTCCGCCGATGTTTTACAACTGCTTCGAACCGGTTTCTTGGAGCGGAGACCAATCATTCAAGCGTCCATCGACGGGGCAATGTTTATCTTTGATTTAAAGAAGATGTTTCAGATCGATTTCGCCCGACGGGAAATCATAGGTCTATTTCTTGGATCGATGCAAATGACAACTGTTTTTTCCCTGAACAAGGGTTTACGGAATTGGACAATGGAAACGAAAACGATGATAATATTAACTGCATTTGCGAAAATAATAATAAGAATAATAACAGTTGTGATCATAAGATTGATGGTGAGATTAAGATTCATCGAAATTCACCCAAGAGACAGCGAGAGGAGGAGCCTGAAGTTAATTCTTCTCACAAAGCCGTGGGAATCGATGTGATTAAAACATCAGCGGTCAGAGGAGGAAGGAGCTGCTAGGTGGCCTAACTCGAGCCCTTTGAAAGAATCAGAGAGCACGTATTTGATTGTTAGATATTGGTTCTTGAATGGAGTAAGGAAAATTGATGGAGGAGTTAGGGTTATTGCCATTCATCAGTGTATGTGGGACGGGCATTTGAGTAAGGCTCGTCTCGAGGCTTTCAAGAATCAGATTGAGATAACTAATGCTGCAAGAGGCAGTTCAAATATGGTTTTATCATGGTATGGGGCTTCCGCCAAGGCTGTGGAAAGTATTCTGGCTCATGGGTTTGGGTTGCTCAGTGAGGTTCCACCGACTGATGTTTATGTAGTTGGCGTGTATTTGTCTCCGTTGGAGTTGCCTCAGTTAAGGTAATTGATTCTGTCTTTTCTACTTTAGCTACTAAGATTCCCACTGTATGATCTTTTATCAGCTCTGCTACTATTCAGCAGAGGCGAATTCAGTTGGAGGGGCTGGCAGTGGTCTTGGCCCGCCTTGCTTCACAATTCTTTGGTAAACCAAACAATATATACATATTTATAACATGTCCCCATTTACAAATCCTTGTAATATGATAAACTTTACCTTTTGCTAACACCTTAAATTCTAAATTTAGTTACTAATTTGATTTGCTTTTACTTTCTTTTTATATATGCATTATTAAAGTTAATTTTTAACACCTTAACTTATGAGTTTATCCATTGGACTTTCCACTGCACTAGTCCTCCAATAGTATGAGCTTCTTAATAGTATGATCAGATCGTCTCTAGGTCTAGGGTCTAATTACTCCCTAATGCATAATTTTTTTCTTTTTCTTTAATTTCTAACTTTTATACTGTTATTGGGTCTGTCTTATTCTTCCAGTGTAAAGCTCGCAGATGCTGATGATAATGGTATTAAACATCTTATATTGTGCCGGGTCATATTGGGAAATGTTGAAAAAGTGGAAGCAGGATCTCTGCAGTATCACCCATCTGTTGTGGATTTTGACACTGGTTCTGATGATCCTCAGAACCCAAAGTGGTATGTGATATGGTCAACTAATGTGAACATGCATATTCTTCCTCAGTTTGTTGTGAGTATCAATCCTTCTGGTAACATGCAAGACAAACTTTTCTACTCTCCTTGATATCTGTTTTCTTATCTTTTATATTTTGAAGTTAATATTTTCGATGTTTCCTTTTAGGTGAACCAAGGCCATTTGATGGTAGATCCATATTACTTCGAAGGTTTTGAACTCTCTTCCTCCTGACAAAGCAAGGGAAGTATGCATTTTAGCGAGCAATAGGAATGTCTGCAGGTCTATTAGATGAAGATGTTTCTTGTTGCTAATAATGGAAGTTGCTTGAAACTAAGAAAACATTTTGATATTACCAATTGTTAACTACAGACTGGAGAGTTGACTGGGGATGGTTTTATGAGGCAATTACGATTGGTTGCTGGAGATGAGGTTCTGATATCTGCTATTCAGGAAGCGGTTGCTTCTATATGATTTGGAAGTGTTGGAATTGTAACTGATTTCATTTACCTACCCTATTGATAAAAAAAACAAGTGTAATTGTTGCCTCATAACTAAAAGATAGGAAAGGAAATGCTTAGACGTACATAAACAGCATAAACCATTCAGTCTTTTTTTTTAACTATAGATTTTAGTTTTTGAACTCTATAACCTTCTAGAGATTGCACAGTGGAGAAGATATGAGCATTGAAAGTTCTTTGATAGATTGATTCTGGCTGCATCCACATTATATGTATAGATGCTACGCTCTGGATAAGTGGATATATTCATATTATTGAGAACATCATAAGCCAAAATGAACTAGTTGATGATCTAAAGCTGTAAAATCACTTCATGTTTCTCTTTCCTTCTCAACATTATTACTCCACCTTATGCAGTTTCACAGTTGTCCATGGTTTATTCTTATCTGGTAATGCCCATTTCTCAATGTATAGGCAATTTTCTCATTATTATTGAACTTTACTTTTCCAACAAGACAATTGAAGTGTAATACCAGCGATGCTGTCCACTAAATAAAAGACGACCCCATGCCTCGATTGCTTGGAAAAGCATAAAAAAAACAAACAAAATATACTTGATACTTTTGCAATCAATCGGTCGGTCGTCCTTCAGTTCCTTGTGGCTATAAGTAGCAATCTTTGTTTGATTGTTTCTTTTTTGTTGTCTTCTTTCCCAGGCACGTTTTACTTATTTCCATCTGACAAACCCAAATGCAAATTTACTCGAAATTTGTTCAGATGTAAATGTTCTCCTTGATAGTCAACTGTCAGGATATCTTTAAGATTTGTGTGGATGTTTAAGATTTCTGCGGATTTTTTTTTTTTTGTGAATGATTTGTATTATTTATGTTAATTTAATACATGTAAAATTTTATTTTCGAAATATTATCTTGCAAAAATTGAATTTTGATTGAGTAAAACTGAATGGATTTTCCCTTACCAATTGGTTGAACCTGGGAGGATAAATGTAACTTTTTATATTAACTCTTTAATGTTATTTAAGCTGTTATAATCAATTTTAATCAGAAAGTGACAAATGAATTTATCACGAAGAAGAATTTTTGCTCTGGACCGATTAAGCTTTTGACCTAACACTAATATCAAATCATGGACTCATTGGCGATGATTGCCTGCTTTCGTTATGATTTGCACCCCTCGAGAGTTGGAGATGTGTCCTGGCTTGTGGCACAACTGTATGCAACTATAGGGTTTGATAATTACTAGCAAAGCAATACTCATCACTAAAATCACCCAACAAAAAATGATGCTCCAAATAGGAGAGTCCTTAATCTCATTTCAGCACTTTCAAAATAGTTCATGTTTTGCTGCACAACATCTAGGTAGAGGTTATTGGCAAGTAATTCAGATTTGTCGACGGTAACGTAATCAGTTGATAAAATATTAAATTTAGTTTCAATTATTAAGATTTAAATTTAAATTAAATAAAAAATAATTCATATTTAAATAGGTTGGAGTTCAAATTTTTCATAAATCTTGGGATTGAGATTGATTTTAGGTTTAAGGTTTTAATGTGAGGTTCTTTTTTTATCTTCTCAAAACAGAAAGAAAAAATCATTGTGATGATTACTAAGTGCTTTAAACCTCTTGATGTGTATGGCAAAAGAATTTGAGGAAAAGCCAAGTTTGCTAACAAATGCCAAAGTATAATGGTGGAAATAATAATGGTTGAAAAGCAGCTTTGTCACACAACATCTTTTCAGCATTATCTATCAGCCATATCCAACAAAAATTTTGAAGAAAATTTCATATCAATATCAAGGTTTTGAGTATACCCAACTTTGGAAGTCATATACAAATACAAGAGTTGTTATGTAAAAAAATGCTAAACTCATCCATCCATTTCAAAATTCCAACCTAATCCAATTGTATATATCTTAATTTTTTTGGGGAAGATAATACCTAACTTATATCCATGTTTGTGTTTCCTTTTATAATGACATGTTCAAGTTTTCTCAAAAAAAAAAAAAAGTTCAAGTTCAATTGAAAAATAAAAATGCGATTAGGGAAAAAGCAAGAGAGAAACAAAGGGGAAATGACCTTATTAGTGCAAGTTAGGTAATTGAGTTTATTCAACAATCAAATCATTTTTATTGATATGATCTTTGATGATTTAAATCAAAATAATCTTTTACCATCTTATAATGTTTAACCCTTTTTTTTGTAAGATTCAAATTTAAAAATTAAATTTTTAACCGATGAAATATATATATATATATATTTATCTTATAATATGATGAAACCAATGTAACCAATGGAGGAGAGAAAACTTCCCAATAGTTCTCAACATCATCATGCCAATAGCATTCTTCAATAAAACCTTTCTTCCTGAGATCATATGAAAAGAAAAGATTCGAATTAGAGGTGTAAATGATACATTAATACTCACAAATTATTTGAGTTCGATTTGAATAAAATTTAAATTCGGTTCGATTATTATCAAGTCGAACTCGAGTTTGAGTAGTTCGACTCATCAATTGAGTCAAGTTTGAGTGTTCTTATACTCAATTTGAATAGTTCGTGAGCCTAATCAAACTTTTATATTTAAATTTTTTTATTATTTTAATTAATAAAATATCTCAAATTCGAGCTTGAATTTGAGTATAAATAATCGAGCTTTTGTCGAACATAAGAATTGAGTTTATTTTTATATATTTTAGAGCTTAATCGAATAAGTTCGAATAGCTTAAATTCGATCACGAAATGAGTTCAAATTAAAAAAATAAAATTTGATCGAATTCGAATCAAATATCGAATCACGAAAATAAAATCGAATTCAAACTCAAATTTTTTACTGTATTAACTCAATTTGACTCGATTATATCTATAATCTGAACCAAATCAACAAACGATAACAAAATTGTTTGTCTGACAAAAGCATCAAAATCCCTCCCAATGCGTGCCAACTTTGCCATATATGAGAATTTTGAGGTATCTCATCTCATCAATTCCCCAAAGAATCAAACAAATCATGATTAATGATAGAAATAAAAAAAAAAAAAAAAAAGAATGTAAAAATTAGATCAGTGAACAGAAACTATTTTAGATTGAGTCTCACATGTTTTCCACTGTGGTGATTAGGACGTTTAAGTGGTCCTCCATTTTTATGATGATGGGCAATAGTCTTTAGTAAAAAGACATATTTTATAATGCAAAGTCATCATTTTCAAGACACATTATCAGCTACTAAATAGCATCCATCATTTTCAAGGTTTTTGCCTCGTTTTACCTTCAAATGAATTGCATCAAAAGAATCACTATTGACCGGTGGTATTTGCACCGTAATTTTCTCTCTTCATTTAGATATAATAATTTTACACATGATATAATGATATAATTATATAATATAAAAATAATATAAAAAATTTTACATAAATTTAATATAATCATGTTTTATATTTTAATTATATTTTAATTGATCAATACAGTTAATACACGATATTATTTGTATCATATTTATATCAAATATTAATAGCACACTTAAGACATAATACTATTTATAAAATAAAAAAATTTAAAAAAATTATTTTAATTTATTTAAAATAATTAATAATCATATTTATCATAATATTTTGATATTTAAATAGGTTATAAATATTTAACTTTTATATATTTTTTATTTAAATAAATAAAATAATCATTTCTAATCGTGTTATTTGTGTATAATCTTATAAATCGTGTCGCTTCATATTATATTAGTTAAATATAAATTAATTTAAATATATTAATCATATCATATTATATGTAATATATATAATAAATATATTATATTCATATTTAAGTTATTCGTATTATTTATGTATTTAAATCATGTTCATATAAAAATTATTTATATTATATTTGATATACAATATGACGAGATACAAATTATCAAATCTATTCGTATCTTATAATTATTAATATTTAAGTTTTGATTTAATACATCCCATCAAAACGTAATTTTATTAAAAACTTAAAATTTCCATTTCCTCACACCCTATCTATTCTCTATTTCCAACCAAAAATCTAAAGGAAATTAAACCCCATTTAAGCCAAATTGAAAAAAAAAAAATCACCCATTTGAAAGTAAAAAATATAAAATCAAAAGCAAATCATTTGTTTTTTTTTTTTTTTACTCTTTTGTTTGATTTTATATTTAATTTAATAAGATTTCATACTATAATTTTTGAAAATTTTTAAAGGTTTTGGAAGACCCATTTTTTAAAATTTTCAAGAATTTTTGAAAATAAATTTTTAAAATGAGGTGTAAAAGATAAAAAAATTAATTAATAAATATTTAAATAATTTTAGTAAAAATTAAATATTTTAAATATATTAAAGAAAATATTAGGGTACAAATAGCAGCACTCATCACTGTTCGCTGTTTTTGGTGCAAAATTATTTATACATATATATGTATATATAACATTGCTACCCCAAAAAGAATACGTAATGAATAGAAGATGATATTTTTTCTGGGGCCAATATCGAAGATAGGTTTGTCAGGCCAATTTAGGAAAAAAAAATGCAAACATAAATATTTAGGCATCTGGCCAAGACAAGTTCTGCCCCACGTGGACCAAACAGATTAAAGATGGCAAAATGAAATTTTTTTCATCCACATCATACTCTACGAATCAGACACCAAATAGCTACCTCACACAAAATATGATACCATATATTTGCAAAGGGTTCAATATCCAACGCATATCCAATTGGCAATTAATATATGTGACATATTTTTATCGAATATAGGTATGATAATTTATATAATTATATCATATAAAATATTATATTTATATCATATTTTATATAAAAATTATGTGTTATAATTTATATAAATATAAAAATATAAAATATAATATTTTATTAAATATATTTATAATTAATCTAAAATTTTAAAACATATTATCTTTATATATTTTGTTCGTATCATTTTTATATTATATTATTGAATTATATTTTAAATTATTAATTTATCTAAAATTAAAGTATTATATTTATTAAAATTTTACTATATTAAAATGATGATTTAAAAAAAATTATAAATTTATTAAATATTATTTTTTAAAAAATAATTATATAAATTAATTAAATCGAAACTTGAATTAAAAAATATATATTTATATGATAATATTAAATCTCTTTCCATGCCTAACAAAAATGACATTGATTCCACTTCCACCACGATCAACTATTGAGTTTGGTTTGAATCTTATCAATTAAAAAAAAAAAAAGAGGATTAATCAACTTGTTAAAGATATTACTATTGCCAAATGATAAGCATTACTTCCATTTCAAAATATTGACTTAATCAATCAAATATTATTGTTTAAGTCACCCCATGACAAGTTTTTGCATCTAGAGAGAAAATAGAATAAAATATTTTAAAAAAATTTAAAAATAAAAAGGTTCGGACACGTGTTTTTATCATTTTACGTTTATCATATGCAAATCCTTATCTTTATATAAAAAAATAAAAACTTTTTTTTTAGGAAAGAAAAAGAAAAAATCATAAAAATGGTATTTACACATGAGGTTGAGAAACCTTATCCATAAATAATAACCATATTTGCTACAAAACAAAAAAAATTAATAAAAATGAGTCTGTCTAAAATTTATATTTTTATTAAAACAAATAAAAAATTATCATAAGTTGTTAATTTACCGATATTGACACTGATTACAAAATTAGGGATTTTGGAGTCAAGTTTCAATTGAAATACAAAAATAATTAATCTTAATTTATTAATTTAATTATAATTTAATATTAAAATTTTAATTTATTATAATTAATTAAATAATACTAAATAAAAATTTGATATTATTTAAATAAATAATTAAATATTATTCCGTCACGTCATAAGCCACCGTTCTTTTGATTAATCATCGCCCGCTGTCACACATGTGTGAATGCATCGACATCGCATCACGCGTCGTCCAAAAACTAAGCCAAAAAGCAAGCGAAACATCTAATCAAACCCCTCTCCCAACCAAAACGCCTATTTATACAAGCGTTGTCCGTCCCCAAACGCTCCCTTATTTTTATTTCATTCTCAGTTTTGCTGCGTCTTCTTCTTCGTTTTATTTTGTTTGCTTAACGGGCTCTCTGAAATCTAGGGGATCTCCATTTTTACTCGCATTCTCTTTATTATACGCTGATTTTGCTCCCATATGAGGCTGAAGGACGAGTTTAGTCATAATAACGACGACGACGACGAAGAGGAAACCAAAACGATGTCGCAGTGTTCCATCGGAGCTTTACAACAACAACAGAAAAACGTTGTTGTTGTTGTCGGTTACGCCCTTACTTCCAAGAAAGTTAAGAGCTTCTTACAACCAAAGCTCGAAGGTTTTGCCAGGTGAATCTTGGGTTTTTTTTTTTTTCACTTTCTAAAGTTTTTTTTAAAGGGTTATCCGAAACTTCTCTTTTTTTTTTGTTCTGATTTTTGGGCACATTTAGGTCTGATTGATCGTTTCGGTATCTAATGTGTGGATTCCAATAGCGAGAATATGCTGCCATTTGATGTCGTTGTCGTTTTGGTTTTGTGGAAAATGAAGTAATTTATGTGAATAATATTACATCAAAACGCTTTGACTCCAACAAGTTAAATATTTTTATTTTATGAGACTATCGTTTATTATGGTGATTATAATATGTCATTTTCAGTATTTATTATTTGTTATTAATGCATGAAGATATTTACATATTTATACTATTTCTTGAAGCAATGATTTTGACTTTGGTAAAGATATAATGCATATTGAATTTTTTACTAATATTACTATAGTCTATATTTTTTGAAGCTGAACTTTCAACTGCCTCCATGGCTCTATTTGTTCCAGTGCCTGCAATATGACCATCAGCTGATGTTAAAATATGGGTCCTTTTCTGTTTTGTTTTTTAATTAAGTGATGTGGTCGTTTTGTACCTTGATAGGGGAAAAGCTTGGATTTTACGGTTATCATTAAGAATCTGTTGCTGTTGATGTGTTGTTTCTTTCCTTTGTGTGAGTAACTGTGTAAAATGTTGCAGGAATAAGGGGATATTGTTTGTTGCAATTGATCAAAACAGACCTCTTTCGGATCAAGGTCCTTTTGATATTGTATTGCACAAGGTTAGTAGATATTTCTTGACATTTATTTAACTGTCTTTCTTCGCTTTCTCTTTCTTAAATTTCATGATGAAAATGAAAAAAGAAAGGGTGCAAACAAACACTTGTGCGTGCACGGTATTGCTTCACATGACCCATTTTTACTTCTGATGCAGTTGACAGGAAAAGAGTGGCGCCAGATTCTTGAGGTTGGTGCAAATTCTAGATCCTATAATTCTTTTGAGAATGATGGATATCTTGGAATGGTTGAGTATGAAGCCACTTGTGTTTGATATATATACGTCATTCTTTTGATGTGTTTTTACATATGAGGAACCAAATAACCCAGTGACTGGTGTCAGACAATTGGTTTGTGTTTAAATCTCATGAGTGGCTGACATAACCTGCAGACTGCTTGCTCTTTCCTTCCCCATGAAACCTGATTTGATAATTGAGGTGGAGGCCTTAAGCTTCCAGCAAGTGAGGATATTTCTTCTTCCATGCCCATCTAGCTGATTTTTCAGGTTTTCCTTAACATTACCTGCAAAAGAACTTTTTCCTTGTTTTAAATGGCTTCATTTGTCCTGGGTAAATTGTTACCCCTTTCTGTCCTTACACAAACCTAGTAAGTGTAGGATCTGGTACACCGCTTGTATTTGCTATATCATGCTTGGCGACTAGATTTTGCAAGTGCCTCCATCATTTACTCCATTTTTGGCTGCCTTCAGGAAGTGGCTGCCAAAAGGATTCTAATTCAATTTTGAGTCAATTTTTTAGTGGATAAGTTTCGGTATTGGTAATAACTCTAGCACTTGACTAACCCATTCCTGTTAAATAAGTTCTTTTGATGCAATATTTTTTAACTGTGAGCTTTTAGTTGTTGTAAATTTTTTTATGGGGCCTGTGTTGATGTTGATTTTCAAATGGCTTCATGAGTTTTATGTTGCTTAATCTTAAGAGAGTTTCTTAATTTCTTGTGTTGCTGTGTTTATCTGGTTATGTAATGAGGTCCTACCTGACCCGTTGCTTTGCTTTCTTAAAATATCTTGTAGCCTGTATGAGCTATTTTCAAGTTTGAATACTTCAGTTTCAGCTTGAATTTAGGTGCCTGTATGAGCTGTTTTCAAGTTTCAATCAGTGTCAGCATGAATTTGGGTGGATGGCATTCATATGTTGCAATCAGAGGATGATTTGTTAATCACAGTGCTGAATGGAAAAAAATTAGAAATCTGCCTTGTGAGTTTGTATGAATGCCTTACTGGATAACATATGAGCCTGGAATTATGAAGTATTCTTTTTTCTTTTTGGCCAGAAAAATTATGAAGTATTCTGGGTGTTCCTTTTGAAAGCCTTTCTTCCAGAAAGAAAGAATGAAATTTTTATATATAAATGGCAAAAGTTAAAAACAAAGATTGTGAAGCTTTTTCTTTTACTTTCTCGCCAAAGGATTATGAAGTGTTTGGTTTTGGAAAATAATGAGCATTAGGTATATTAAAAGCTAATTTTAGAAAAGTTTCTTTCTTTAGGGCTATTTGTTTGGTAATACACATTTGTGTTGAGTCCAATCCATCTTACATTCTCTGACCTATAACTGCAGGAATATAGACGAACACATCCAGAAGTCACTGTTCTTGATCCTCCTGATGCTATACTTCATTTACACAATCGCCAATCAATGCTACAATGTGTTGCAGATATGAATTTATCTGATTCCTATGGTAATTTGTACTTTTCTTTGTTGACATTAGAACCCAGTAGGAGTCAGACTTTTTCTTCCTCTCTCACTGGAAGCTTTTTGGTTTTTGATGAAACTTTTAAATGAACTCCCATGCTGATCAAAATTAACGTTGATGTTTTACTGTGCAGGAAAAGTTGGTGTTCCCAGGCAATTAGTCATTAAAAGAGACGCATCATCCATTCCTGATGCTGTAGCCAAAGCTGGGTTGATGCTGCCCCTTGGTATGCTATGTTGTTCTAATATGTCATAGCATTCTTTAGGGTCCATTTAAGTTACATAGACTTTTATAGGTTGTGCATTGGTTCTATAATTTGTTTCATGTGGTTTGTATGTCACCTCTGGGATCAGCAGGGGACTGTCACTGGACTTGAATCCTAAAGAGTCTAGAGATGCTTTGTCTAGATAATGCTCCCAAATTATGTGATTTATTTTAGGGTTTCGTTTTTTCCTTAGTCTGATCCTATTTTTTCATGGTAATTCTTTCTTATCAAACTTGCTCGTTCCCATCTGTTTCAGTCGCAAAACCATTGGTTGCTGATGGAAGTGCAAAGTCACATGAATTATCACTTGCTTATGATCAATATTCTCTCCAGAAACTTGAACCGCCTCTTGTTCTTCAGGAGTTTGTTAACCATGGTATGCAACTGCAATTTTTGCGGAGACTTAATAACTATATGGTTTCCAACTTTAATGAGCAATGCCTAACTGCTTCTTTTAATGCCTTTAGGAGGTGTTCTCTTCAAGGTTTATATTGTTGGAGAAGCCATAAAAGTAGTCAGGCGTTTCTCTTTACCTGATGTAACTAAAAGAGAGCTCTCAAAAAATGCTGGTGTTTTCCGGTTTCCACGTGTTTCATGTGCTGCAGCTTCTGCAGATGACGCAGATTTGGACCCTAGTGTGGCTGGTATACTATCCTGTCTAAAATAACTCCTCCTTTGATGCTTCTTCTGCTATTCTTCTTGTGCCTTTTGTAAACATGAATATTTGATCATGTGATTGTATTTGGAATTTGTTTTAAGAAATTTTCATGATTGAGTCAGAAAGGTTGAACCTCAGTTCATTGTGGCTTTTCAGTTGATTTCATGCAAGACATGTGGTTTATGCAGAAAAAAGGGGTTGCTTTGCTTTGAACTGTGTTGAAGTGTGAAAGGCTGTCTTAAGCCATGCCTTTAGTATTCTTGTAGGCCCTCTAACATATGTGTTTCCTTCCATTGCAGAGCTTCCTCCTCGCCCTTTACTTGAAAAACTAGCCAAAGAACTCCGTCGACGACTGGTAGTTATTTAAATTTTGACTATTAGTTTTCTGGTCTATACATAATGCCAATCTGTGGATTAATTTTGCATTTTTCCTACATTTCTATGCTTGTTATATGTAGGGTCTTCGGCTATTTAACCTAGACATTATCCGGGAGCATGGAACCAGGGATCATTTTTATGTCATTGACATTAACTATTTTCCTGGCAAGTGAAACTTCTATTCTATAACCATCATGATGCCAGTTTTGCACCTGGTTTAAAGCCCATTTTATTCTTTTATTCAATGCACCTTGCAAACATGCTGACTTGCTCTTGAATTGTTTGTGAAAATATTTGCAGGGTATGGAAAAATGCCTGGGTATGAACATATATTTACGGACTTCCTCTTGAGCCTTGTGCAGAGCCGATACAAGAAGAAATCATGATACTCACCTTCTTTAAAACCTTCGGGAATCAGGGTGTTAAAAGACAACATGCAATTCAAAACTCCAATACATCGGATGGTCTCTGTAACCATATGCAAGATGAGGTCTCATGCTTGTTTCGTTGCCTTGTATAGCATCGTGTAATTCCTGCTAGCAGTTGGAGATCAGGATGGTGCATTTCAAAGTGCAAAAAGATCCGAACCTCCAAATTCTGTCATTGCATCGGGCTGGTAGGATTTTCCCTGCTAAATAGTTTATGCTGTAAAACAGCTCTCTGGAAATCAACTTGCTGTGCTCCACTCTTTTGTTAACATGGTGATAGGAGAGCAGTTGGAGCAATCACGTCTGATGTTTATTAATACACACATTGTTTTGTTCCTTGCAATATCTTTGTCTTGTATGGAGTGGAGTTCATTAGAAGGATCCTTGTCGACTGAACTTAAACGAAATTTAAGACAGTTTCAGTTTCAACTTCATTTATAATAATCCTTTAAAAGTGAAATCCATGACTAAGCACAAAAACCCTCTACCCACTTGAAACAGGAGAGGAGCCTGTAGAGCAGAGTCAGCGAGACCAACCTCGGTAACACCACCAATTCTTGAAATCAGGGTCCAAACAGGAGGGAGTGGAGAGCGTAAATCCTCCTTATATCCCATGGCTGCGTCTTGCGTGGCCTTGTCTTCATGTGATGCTTCGTTGCCTTCTGTGGTGTCCGACCAACATTCTATAACTAGCCCACCGTTGGAAACGGCGGAAGATCGAAGACTTGGTGTCTTAAATGAAGGTACAGATCCAACTTTTTTTAATTTTATTTTTAAACAAATAATAATATACTAAATTACTAAAAATAAAAAGATGACATCAGCATATCATGGCTAAGGTCAAAGTTTTTTCGCCCTCTTCCGCAAAAGAAAAGTAAAAAGCATCCCAATTACCCACGTGTGTACAGCATTCAAATCCTCTCCACACATTTCAAAATCAGCAATCAGATTCTGATCCTAACCGCCGGATAAAATCAAAACCCTCCAAAATCCAGATTGGACGAACCCAATTCCACTCGGTCCCACCAACTAAAAACTAAAAAAACAAAAAAGAAACTCACAATTGCAGCACAACCCACGTGCGGTACCAAGATTAGATTAACAAATTAAAAAAAAATGGAGCCTACAATTTTGTTAGGAGAGAAAGAGAGAGGCCTCGCTCACCTCAGAAACCGTCAGCTTCCATCCCCACGGGCAATTAACGCCAACCTCTACTCAGTTGTCCATCCAACAGAGAATATATCATCTAGTGTTATAATTAAAATATTAATAAAAATTTAAAATTGTTAGATTTATTAAAATATTACGTAAAGTCTACGATGAATGTTCAAATAATTTTTATTATTATTGAATAATGGGAATATTTTGGGAAAAAAATTATAATTGAAATGCTCCTCCGCCAACCCCCTCTGCCCTGTTACAAATAGAGAGAAACTGTGTCCAAAACGAAAAAGAAAATGACAAACAAACAACAAACCTAGGGGATTAAACATGAAGACAGTGTTTGGCTTACTATCATTTTCGGTTTCCAAAAGCGAATTTCCTTCACGTTTTCCCATGTAGCCTCCGTTCACAATCTCACATTTTTCTTAGCTTAAACCTTTTTTATTTTCTATTTATTGCTATATGTTGATGATTAGAATGTAATATATTTCATGTTGAGTAAAAAAATTTATTATATGTAATTTTAAAAAATTATTTATATTATTTAAATAATTAAATTAAATGCTTGAGAGTATCGAATTTATTAAAATTATTTTTAATGAGTCAAATAATTTTAAAAATAAAAAATAAATACTTAAGCACATATATTTGAGTTTGTTTAATAAATAAATTTAATTTTAAATTTTTTTATTTTAAAATATTGTTAAAATATTTTTTATTTTAAATAAATATAGTTAAATAAAAAATAGAGTGATTCAAATAATTATATCTAAACAAAATATATAATTATATAAAATGTTATAATTTTTTAATTGATTTATTTTAATAACTATTTATTTATTAAAAATAAATTTTTTAATTAATTCAATTTTATTATTTTTAATTTAAAAAATATTTAAAATTTTATTTTATCTTATAAATATAATTACTTTTAAAATAATATTATTCAAATCTCAAATCATTTTTTATTTATTTTTATTTTACTAAATTTTCTAATACTATATATATATATACACACAGACTGTAAGTGTTTGAAGACAAAGGGCAAGTCCGCAAAACAAAAAAAAAAACAAAAGAATGGACCCTTGCCCTTTCGTACGACTTACCGTTGGTAATCTAGCTTTGAAAATTCCGGTTGCGTCTAAACCGGCGCGGTCCGTTGTTCACCCTTCTTTGTCGCCGTGTTTTTGTAAGATTAAGCTTAAGAATTTCCCTTTACAAACCGTCGCTGTTCCCTACACTCCGTCGGAGAATCAGTTCCCCGACAGTCCGCTGGAAACCCTTGCCGCTACTTTCCACCTCAGCAAGGCCGATATCGACAAACTCGCAGCGAAATCGATCTTTTCCGCCAAGGCTTGCCTCAAGATCGCTATCTACACTGGCCGGAGAGGCACTACTTGCAGGTTTAACTCTAGCCGTCTGCTAGGGAAAGTGTCGGTGCCGTTGGATCTGTCGGGAACTGAATCTAAGGCTTGCGTTTTACGCAATGGCTGGATTTCGGTTGGGAAAGAAGCTAATAAAGGTTCGTCAGCTCAGTTTCACTTGAATGTTAAAGCGGAACCCGACCCGAGATTCGTTTTCCAGTTCGACGGGGAACCTGAATGTAGTCCTCAAGTGTTTCAGATCCGAGGAAATATCCAGCAACCCGTTTTCACTTGCAAGTTCAGTTTTAGAAACACCGGTGACCGAAATCAAAGATCCAGGTTGGTTTTTACACTTTCTAATTAAATAACTTTTCAGGCTTTTTGTGAAGTAGTTAATAAATTTAAATACAAAATAGTATGGTAAGCCAAAGTTAAAAGTTTGCCAGATTATGTCCTTAATTGAAAACTAATAAAAATTTTGATTTCATGAAAAAGTTCGTTTTTTTTACTTTTTACGGTTTAGTTAGTTTGGAGTGTTTGTTCTTTGCTTGTGGAGTAATTTTTTCAGTTAAAATTGGACAGGTCGTTACAGTCAGAGACAAGTAGCTCTCGGAGTTGGTTAAGCTCGTTTGGAAGCGAAAGGGAAAGGCGAGGAAAGGAACGAAAAGGGTGGTCAATAACGGTCCACGACTTATCCGGCTCACCTGTTGCCGCCGCTTCAATGGTCACTCCTTTCGTGGCTTCACCGGGTTCGGACCGAGTCAGTCGTTCTAATCCCGGCTCATGGCTTATTCTCCGTCCGGGAGGTGGCACCTGGAAACCCTGGGGCCGTCTCGAGGCTTGGCGTGAACGTGGCTCTTCTGATGGACTTGGTTACCGTTTTGAACTCATTCCTGATATGAGTGCCGCGGCTATTGTTCTAGCCGAGTCGATACTGAGTTCCAGTAAGGGAGGAAAGTTTGTTATTGACCTTGGGGGAAGCAGCGGCGGTTCAAACGGGCGGGCAACGACGGGAAGTGCGACCTCGCCGGCGTGTAGTCCAAGGAGTAGTGGGGATTGCGGGTACGGATTGTGGCCATTTTGCGTGCATAGAGGGTTTGTAATGTCGGCTGGCGTGGAAGCGGAAGGCAAGTGTAGCAAGCCTTGCGTGGAGGTGAGTGTACAGCACGTGAATTGTACGGAGGATGCAGCTGCATTCGTGGCTCTAGCTGCTGCCGTTGATTTGAGTATGGATGCTTGCAGGCTTTTCTCTCAACGGTTAAGAAAAGAGCTCTGTAATCACCAGGATTCACTTGACTGATTCCGATTTTCCCACGTTTTTTCCGGTCCTTTTTACTGATGTTTTTTTCCTGAGTGGATGTGTTTTAGGTTCCATCGCAGAAAAGCAAGAGGTTTTTTTATTTTACTTTTTTACCACTAACAAACAAGAACAATCCAAAACAATATGTACAGGATTTACCCATTTGGCTTGTGTAATATTTTTTTGTAACGCCATCAATTGTCAATTTCCAGTTGGGAATTTCTCTGATTATCTTTGCTTTAAGTACTGTTCTTCAGGCATGTTAAATAAGTAACGGTGTTAATGATTGCTTACTTGACTTTGAGAACAAATCAAGGATCGAACAACTGGAGGGTTGTTAGGAAACGGACAAGGGTTGGGGTGGATGCACGTTAAGTCGTTACTACTTCAAGAATTGTTTAATGGATTATAGCTGTAATCAGCTACCGGCCCCCGTTTTAAGAGCTTCCTTTGCATAAAATCACGGTTTTGTTACGACTTTTTTTTTTTTTTTGGTGTCCATTAATTATTAAATTCACCGGGTTAGCTGAGTTTCACATTCATAACGGACAGTTTTAGTTAACAAAGGATTCGTAGCTATTACACAAGCGTATTTTTTATTCTGAACGAAAGTGCTGCAAAGGGAAAGTAGTTAAGGCCTAGATTTGGTTGCGCAACGCCTATTAGATTGGGTACATTCGAATTTCTGTTGTGGCCAAATGGGTGTTTGAAGCAATGTGGACCATGACCTAACCCTTCAGCTTCTTATCTTTAAAAAGGAAGATGGAAAGAATGGGCAGTGGGACTATTTGCATTAAAAAACAAACTTTCAATACACTCAAAAAAATTATTTAAATATTTATTTATTAATTAATTTTTTATCTTTTATACTTATTTTTAGTAAATTATCAAAAATGAATATTTTAAAACTTCTTCAATATATCAAAAAATTTATTTTCGAAAATTTTTTAATTTTATTGGAGATTTATTTTCAAAAAGTATTATAATTATTTGAAATTTTTTATGGATTTCAAGTATGTCAAAAAAGTTTTTGCATATTCATTTTCGAAAAACTTCAATAATTTTTGAAATTTTATTTTTAAAATAATTGACTCATCACCTAAAATTGTATTATTAAACTTAAAATCTTAAATTTTTAAAATAAAATACAAAATCAAATAAAAAAACAAATAATTTATTTATGATTCTAAGTTCTCTAATACTAAAGAGGCAATTGGATCTTGATTTAAAACTTAATTTTTAAAAGGTTTAAGGTTTTTTTGATAAAAAAAAAAGAAAGTGTGAGGTGTTTGAATTTTTTAATAAATTAATATTTTAATTTAGGATATAAAAAAAAAGAAATATTAATAATAATGGAACGTGAAAAAAAAAAAGTGAGTATAAATTCTACCGCTCAAAGAATGGGGAGGGAGCTAAGGGACTTGAAAGGGATTGAGGAGACATGTGGTGCAACGCGTCTCGTACTCTACACTCTACAGTACTCTGCACGCACAGAATGGCTAAATTTGTTGGCATTAAAATTACAAATTTTAATACATATAATAAATTTTTTATATATATGTAAAAAGTATTTAAGATATTCAAACAATTTTCAAATTTTATTCAGTTTTAACCAATGAAAACGAAATCCAATCAACCGTCCAACGTAACATCAATGGATCAATCAACTGAAAATGAGCATTAAATATTTTGTATTCTAACAAAATGATCTGTTAGTTAGAAAAAATTTTTCCTATTGGAGATTATGCCACCACCGGACAATAGTACGACCTTCATTAATAACCTCCCGGAGAAGTCCAGATTCAATAAGAATATAAGCCAAAAATAAAAATAAAAGATTCCGATATTTTCTCACACGTCACATTCAGATGGGGTTGAAAATCCTAATCACAATCTTGTTTTGGGTGGTCGGATCCTCCCATTTTATTTTCCCCATTTTGAAACCTATGGCTTTTTGCAGAAAACTATTGCCGTACTACTTTAGAAAAAGCGAGGCAATGACGGCTTGCTCTCCGTCTCTCCGGGCGAAATACGTCACTATCTAATAAATTTCATTAATGAAATTTAAAATATTATATTTATTTTTATTCTCGATATAGAAAGTTATTAATTTTTTTATATGTGATATTTTGAATTTGTTTTCGATTTATTCATTAATATTTGGTTATAATGTAAATGGAACATGGACATAGTTTATTATGTGACATTTTATCAGATAATAATAATAATAATAATAATAATAATATATTAAATTTTATATCCCATAAACGTAATAAATTTTGTTTAAATTTAAACGGTATGTTAATGAATAGATGAAATTTAAAATAAATTCAAAAAAATTATGAATAATAAATGGAGAATTGAAAAATTTTATAAAAAATACGATTTAATGATAAAATTTATTCCAAAGAAAACCTAAGATAAATAATAAATTTGTTTATATTTATCCAAAAAAAATATATTTATATTTATTAAATTATTTCCAATGAGATATGTAATTTTTGTTTTATCCTCTAACTATTAAACATTTTTTTGGAGGGTAAAAGTGGGAATCCAAGTCAAAGTCTTGCTAAAATAGTCAAAGTCAAAACATTAATCCATGACCATGACCGTCCAAAAGGGTGCAACTTTACTGGTCCAGTTGAAGTCAAAAGAGGAGGGAAAAAGCAAAGCCCAGAAGATGAAAGCGTTGGGATGGTGGTTAATGCTGGTGGCTTCACTTCGATTAGCCTCCGTTTGGTTTGGCTTCTTCGATATTTGGGCTCTTCGTCTCGCCGCTTCACCACCAGTAAGCTTCTTTCTCTGACTCTTTGGTTGCTTAATTCTTTACTTTTATTTTTAATTGTTTTCTATGTTTTGTTTTTTGTGATTTAGAAGATATGGTTTTCGAAAAGATCACTTCCTCTTAAAAGAACAAATTTTAATTTTTAACAAAGGAATTGAGTTTGTTTTTTCTGGGTTATGGAGACAAGGTGCTGTTTTTGTGTGCTTGCCAACTGTTCGGTTATGTCTTTTTAAGTTAGAGTTCGAAGCTCCAAGCTTCTAAAAAATGTCGAAAAAGTGTAATTTGGGATCCCAAAGTGTAGAGATTTTGAAGATTCTTATACGAAAAATAATGTTAGCTTTGTTGCTTTGGAGCAATGCTTTTGTAAAACTAGTTGTAATGAACTATTTTCTTTATCTTCTAAAAGAAAACTAGAAGTTCTTTGAATTGGATCAATTGAATGATTCATTGAGTGATGGAATATTTTCTACGCATGAAGAGATTAATAAAGATTGTCTAATCTTCAGTTCGTCTTACTTTGTTTAAACTTTACTACTCATTAGCATGCTTTTTAGCTTAAATTAATGGAATATTTTTGCTTTTCTGGATCTAATAACTAAGATTTGCTAGCTCTCATTGAAATGCTTCGTCAAATTTTTCCGCAATAAACACATGAGGATAAGTTCAAGTCCAATTTCCTGTTTTGTTCTTTGCACTGAAATTTAGATTCTTGCTTAATATTCCAATGCTGATGATGCATCTTACTTGAAGTTAGATTTTGATCCAATGCCTTTTTGCTTTTGTCTTGGTTGATGAGAAGGAATGAGGGTCGAGGAGAGTGCAAGATTGATTATATCTACCTAAGTACCAAAGCCAAGAAAGATACATGCTGGTGGGTTTCAGATGTAATAGTTCAGTCAAAAAGTCGACAAACTTTGAATTATCATGTAATGGTGGATTCTATGAATAATAACAAGGTGGATGAGTTTGTTAAGCCGACAGCTGATTTTGGGTCCATTGTCCAAGAAAGATATAGGATGTTAGAATTGGAGTAAACAAACACAAAACAGATTTGGTGCATCTGAAATTTTAGATGTGTTCATTGCAGCATCAAGCATGGTTCATTTAGTGCATGTATAAGCCATTTGCATATTTGAAGTGAAACACTATGTTCGTGGAAAAGGGGTCATTGTTGGTTTCTTGCATTAAGACTTAATAATGAGGACATCTGGACTTTGATTCAAGTTGAGACACATTGAAGAAACTATTAATCACAAATTTTTTAAGGGAATGGGTTTGGCTTACAAGGCAATAGTATTTGAATCCAGAGGTTAAGGAAGATACAGATATTTGGATTTTGACTATGATATCACAAAATTAATACTCTTAGAACGATGTGAAAATGTCCCTGGTCCTTTCAGGGTCTTTGGCTGCATGCATATACAGTTCTGCCTTTGAACTGTACGAGTATGCTAAAGCAAAAGGGAACAATAGGAAGGGTTACCTAAAATTTAAGTTAATACTATGCAGTTACTCCTTATTCAATGTATATATATCAGATATGGCTTGAGCGTGATATGTTGTACATGTAATCCAGTGGAGATACTATTTTTGAGCAAAGCATGCCTTACTTTTTCTGAGGCATCTTGAAGGTGTTTCATGACAAAAATTAAAACTAGTTCTCTATATCCTTGATGATATGTTTTGCCTTTTCCAAGTTGATTCTTTTTAATTATTTCAAGTATCTATTTCAATCAAGATAAAGGAGAATTCCTCTCTAGAGTTTTTTTTTGGTATTAAGAAGCTCTAAATTCTTTTAAAATACTGCTACCTCATAGCTTGGATATATTATGGCATGACATTGATAATCATATGATAATCTGACCTTGAGATATCAATAATTGTCAGTTATGGCATGGATTTTTTTTTTTTTTAACATTTTATTCCAGTTAATGAATTTGCTAATGTTCCGTTTTATTTCTATGTTAGATGGCAACTTTATTACCCTTGCAGTTGAGTTTTCCTTCTGTACCCTTATGTACAAGTTAAACCATTTTCTTTTTCTTTGGCCAAAAGAACAATTTTTGCTTATAAATATTAGAAAATGGAAAAAGACTCTGATATCAGTACAACAACAACACAAAAAGCCTTATATCCCATACCCTGGGGTTGGCTGTATGAAAAACCAAATAAGAGAATTAAGTTAGGTTGTAGTTTGAATCAAGACTCTGATATCAGTATAGTTATAAAAACGTTTTCATCTCAGATTGCAATTTGTTTTCTGCTGAGGAATAATCTGTCATTCCGGGTCTTGCTAATCGTCATCTCCTATTTGTTTCTAACTGACGCAGTGACTAAAGTTCACAGAAGGACATTTGCTGTTTGGACACTTTTGAATTGTACTCTCTGCTTTCTTTGTGCATTTAACCTGGAAAATAAGACACTGTACTTGGTGACATTTTTGTCATTCATTTATGCCTTTGGTCACTTTTTGACTGAATACCTCTTCTATCAAACAATGGCACTTTCAAATCTGACAACTGTAGGTATATTTGCATGTATGTTGTTCATAAGGAAACATGCATAATCTTTGAGTTTGTTTTATTTTGTTACTGCTTTTCAGTGAAGTTGTTGAAATCTTTTCCTTGACTTTTTGCTGTTTTTATGGCATCAAATTTGTAAATTGTATAATCAGTTTTATCATTTGATGAATAGAGATAATAAATAATCTGCAATTGCCGGGTTTGTAGCTATTATGTTGCAATTACAACCAGCATAGAACTACTTCGAACCAAGGCAGTTCTAAGCTTCTATGACTGCAAAAAGCCAAGTCTCTGCTTGCCAAAGCCTGAGATCTCATCTGAATCTTTCTTGTCCCTCCTGTAGTATGCCAACGTTTTTAGCCAAAACCACAACTTGCTCTTCGATATTTATTTTTCATTGTGAAGTCTTTGGTTCACCAATCTCCATGATCAGGTTAAAATGTTTTGGCTTATCATTTTCCATGAGACTTTGATTAACTATGTGAAGGTTGCCATTTTTGCCTAGAATTAATTATGTTTTTTTTTTTCTTCTCAAAATCAGGGACATCAATTCTATGGATGCTGTTACAGTGGAATGCACTTCATCAAAGACATGTCAAGCATTCCTGAAAATCAACTCATTTACTTTCAGTTGCTTTAGTCTCGGTATTGATTTTATATTCTCAATCAGGACTAACTGATAACGGCTGTTTTCAATTAGATTGTGGAGTTCTTGGAACCTATGACGTGGAACGAACCAAGTTATACATGCTAGTAGCTTACGCTTAGCCCAGTTCTTTTCACCGACCAACCTTTCCTGTCTTTGCATCTTGGATTGGATAGTCAGATGTTACTGTGCACATGTCAGCAGATAGGCTTAGGGGCCCAGATTCCTGCCCGATACTTTGCAAAGAGATGGACAAACGTTGGAATGTAGTGCATGTTGGCCTGATGACGACCTCAAAAGCCCAAAAACGATGTGTGATTGACGACTTCCCTTCTCAGCAGACTCTTCTAAGACCAAAAATGATGGAAAACAAAAAAAAGGAAAAGGCAAGTAGACAGAATTTCATAGGCAGCATCCATCCTCTTGTCTGGAAATTCTTCTCAATATGCATCATGTTAGGTTGTGGTAGCCGTTTGCTTACTAATTCATGGCGATTAAGAATAAAATGCGTGGTTTCTTTATTGAGTTTTCGTCAGAATCACTGGGATAAATTGTGGTGTATTTTTCAAGAGAACAATAGAAGTTCTTCTGGTTGACAAAATATGAGGAAGCTTGGCATTGAACAATTGAACTGACACTTTTACAAGTTACAAGCTTATTGATTCCACACCAAAGTGGTTCCATTTCTTCCTAATAAGTGGCAATCTTGACAAATTTCTTGGACAAATGCTAAACCATTTTTGTACAGTTGTTCAGCTACAGAATTATTTTCTGAAGAAAGAAAGAAAGAAGCAGCCATCTACTAATACATAATAAACCCAACGATGTATATGTCGCTCAGGAACTAATGTGAACTTGTTCTGCTGCAACTTCACTGTGATTTGCTACATTTTCCTTCTCTAGCAAAGTGTGCAAAAGGTATTGATAGATCCTATCAAATTTTCATGGTGAAACAAAGAATCCAAAGACCAAACAGGCTCAATTCTCTGTAACACTTACTTTCTCACTTCTTGTTGATGATAATAAGATTTCTATTGTATTCTCTGGTATGCCACCAAGTCTCTTTTGGCTGCTTCTGATGGAAAAAGCTTCATTTAAACTGGATACCGTTTCCTTACCTCTTCGTTTTATTTTCTTTACCATTTCGCCCACACTTCTCAAACGTCGAATTTGCGCAGCAATTCCGGAATCAAGGTTGCTTTGCATAACGGCACTTGAGGCACCATCACTCTTGTAATGCTCCAGCTCTCTTGGATCCTGTAAATTTTCGTCACCTTCATTCATGGCTTGTTCTTCTAATAAACTTAAATTCTCAATTTGGTTTTCATTCTCTCTATCTTCTTCATCAATAAAATCCTCAACTTCCTCACTTTCTTCCCCTTCCGCTTTCTCTCGATCACGCCTATCTATCTCATTTCCATCATCTTCACTTTCCTCAGGTTTACTCTCTTCCACCTCTTCTGCTTCAATTTCTCCACTTTCCTTATTGTCAGTGGATGACCCTTGTCCTTGAAGATCAAGGTCCTTCCTCCCAAGTTTTAAGGCTTCATGCTCACTCGTTACCTTTTGGAAAATTCCACTTCCCTTATCGTAAGGGTTCCTAACTTGGTTCAGCAACCAGATGCAAAGGGCAAGCAAGGCGCATATCTGAAGAACATGCTTTACCTTGAAGCCTTTATACCTCTGGTTTCTACTAGCTGATTGCTTTAGCATGATGAACCCTTGCGTATGTTTCCTTCAGTATCAGAAGCAAAGAGCCAAGCTTTATCTGTCCAAGCAGGATCAAGAATCAACTCCAACTCTAAATATCTTAAGCTGAATTTATTTAATCCCCCGGTTATTCATTGAAAGATAACTGGTATAAAAGAAAATAACTTTTGAGGTATGAGTTTCTTTTGATAATACAAAATGTGGGTTCTTTTCCATAGGGTTTAACACAAAGATGATAGGATAACAAAGTTCACAGAGGAAGCATGATAGTGTGATGTAGTTAGACAAAAGTACAGATTGTTGCGTCACTCAAAAAAAGGGATCTCCTTTCATTAATGAGACCTTGCGCACCCAACTAATTCTCCACCTGTGAATTGTAGATGTTTTTGCGTTTTCTTTTTATCTATGGGCCATAGTGAAGACAAAAAAAAAAAACCCGACAGCTAACCCTTTTAACCCAGACAAGTCCCCCATAGATATTTAACTTAGCACAAACACAACCGACACCAACATTAAATCCCTTTCAACTTAAAAACCAGACAAATCCTTTCAAATTTGAGAAATTTGCTTAAGAAATTAACAAAGAACAACATAGGAATGAATCAAAAAGAAATTGATAAAAAAAAATTCCTGACAGCCATAATGCAGGCCAGAGAAAGGTGGGAAGAAGAAAAGATACCGTCTTGAAAAGGCAGATCCGCAGTAAAAAAAAAATGTAAACTTGAAAAACAAAAAGAGTACCCCTTTTGTGACCTGGAATCTTGGATTCAAGTATATCCAACGGAGTGTGTGCTTTCACTAGCAGTAGAGGCAGCAGCAACGGTAATGTTTCTGGTCCTTATCTTTCTCCAAAGAAATGGTAAGATCAGAAGGGTGTGGTGGACACAACGGAATAGCCATAAAAAGGAGAAGTGAGGTAGTTGAAAGGATATGAAATGAAATGAATACAGAACATGGCGGGTTTATCTTTGAAGAAAGGGGTAGCGAGAGAGAGCTGAGAAGTGAATGTGAGAAAAACACTTGAAACTGAGAAATGTCAGCCTACATTGCACTTGCCAACAACTTGATGTCAATTGTTTTATTCATTGGTTTCATGTGTGGGTTCATGACAAGTCTATGTAATATCATGTCTAATGTGTGGATGTTGTTTTCTTGGTGTCGCATTCCAAATTCCTATCCAGGCCAGGTCATGTTCTCCACAGGAAGCGTCCCTGTAGATATAGCATGCTTGAAGAATACAATATTCCCAGTAATTTCTTAATATTTGCTAGGTGGCTTTTGCTCTCTCTTTTGGGTATCCCTTCAGATAAAGTTGGTAATCCAATTCGTTTTATGAATTTTGATCTAATTTAATTTTATAATATCATATTTTTTAAATTGAATTTTGAATCGTATCAAATAATAATAATAAAAAATTAAAATCAGATTTTAAAATAATTTGATCTGATTTAATCTTATATATATATAAAATTTATTTTTTATTTATATATATTTAATTTTATATTTATATTAAAAATTATATTTTATAATTTAAAAATAATATTTTATTAATTTTAAATCAGATCGAATCAAATACAATTTATATAATATTAACTCAAAACGGATTTGAGTGTAAAAAAAAAAAAATCAAATTAAATCAAATTTAAAATTTTTTAATATAAAATCAAATCAAATTTAAAATAAATAAAAATTTATCCCCGTTCAATCCGTTGTTATTCCTACCTTCAGCGGCTCCAAACTTTACCAATGGGTGGAAAAACTTCAACTCTATCAATCTAACGGGACGAGTTGTTTTGTACTATAGGCATCTCAGGCTTCCAATTCCATGAACAAGTAATGAAAAACATGACTGTAAAAAATTTTATCCGCAAAAAAATTCCAATACACACAACATTAGCTCCTCCTTAGCAGTAATTTTTTCAATTTGCAGCTTTCTTAAAGGGCTGAGACAGTTTTCCCTTTTTTCTTTTTTTATGCATGTGAGAAAACTCAAATGGAAAAGAAGATTCAGTCATTGATTTTTAGTCCTCCCGAGAGGGAATTACCAATTGCCTATTTATTTGTGCATAGTAAATTTCACAATTGAGTTTAATAATTTAACTTAAATGATTATTCTCATTGAATAAAAAGTTAAAAGTTATTCAGATTAGTTTTTTTTTTTTTTTTTCATTCCCTGATCAAATGTACCAAAAGAAAAAGGTGAATTTCACTCTTATCATAGTAAAAATTTTCTTTGCATTGCTTGCCTCTCTGATATGTCCATTGAAGATATAATATTAGAGCTCATGCATCCAGGCAAAAGGACATGAAAAACCGAATGGTGCCCTTTTCAACTGAAACCCTGAAATCTCCTTTGCTAATCACTGGTGGGTTACTGCCACGCACCACAACCACCAGAGTCAGAAAAGTAGGAACAGTAAACCTTTGCCTCTCAAGGTGTTCGCGAGCTTAAACATTAATGAAGTTATGATGATTAGTACAAATTCACTCCACCTGTTAAATTCCTTCTCTTATTAGCAAACAAGCGGTTTCCTTTTTTTCAAACAAGGGTAAATCACAGCATTTTAAACTGTTCATACATGTTTGAAGATTGACTGAATGACTCATATCATGAGTTTGTGGATATGATATTTGGTGGGAAATTTAATATTACTGCTTGATTGGTTTTGAAACTCATCTATTTAACACCTGGGTTTTCCTTTTCTTTTTTTTTTGCGTTTTTGATGACAAAATTTTCTAATATAACGTCAAGTTGCAGCTTAGGTATTGTCACCGGTCACCTCTAATAAGCATTAAAGATGAAAGAAAGCAAAGAGTGAAAAGAAAAATGAATACCCCAAAAACCCAAATAAAAAGATGCCACCCCATCCATCCATAGTTTTGATTTGCAAAAGGACTGAAAAGGGGAGGGAGGAAGCAGAGAAAGCAGACAGCAGCTCTGCAAGAGTTAATGAATGAAGATGATGAGTTCTTCACTTCTTCACAAGTCTCTCTGCAATCTTTTTCAGGTCCATATTCAATGCAGCATTTGATGTTTTCAAAACTAGTTAACATGAACGGAAACAGACAAAAAACAACTATGGCAGTTCATTTATTGACATAAGCTCCAGGGAGAAAGCATGGTCCATATCTGGAACTCTTTTTATTTCATCTTGCATGCGTTTTTTCAGCCTCATGGGGTTACAAGAAAGATTTAAGGAGAGTGATCACTTAACAGTATCTTTACAAAAGATCATTGTCTTCTTCAAATATCTAAAATTTTCTTCAACTTTGACAGCACGGGAAGATTATTTTGATTCATCTATAGCTTCAACTCAATCGAATACAATGCTGTAAAACTTGGTAAGAATTTCTGGCAGATTCGTTCATTTTAATGTTATGATCATTGTTAATAATGATTTATTAAGGGAAAATAGAAGGGAAATAATGAGATGATAGGGTACGTTAGGCATTTATCACTTCGAGGTAGGCTTTCTAAAATGCAACACAGCCTCAGCTTTCTCTCCGGACTCTGGAGTGTGGTGCCCAAATCTTGTAAGATTCGAAATCAGAACTGTCTGACAGACTTGATCAACACCCATCTTTGTCTCTTTAAAATTACCCAGGTCGTCACTTGCCATCAAAATCAACAAATTTCACCTCACCTCCCAAAATATTAAAAAACAAAATCTAAATTTTAATGACAGTGAGTTAAGGTATCTTAATCTGTTTAACTCTAACTAAAGAAAACAAATAATGGACAAAGCCATGTAATCATATTTCTACCATGCAAGAGAGGAGAGTGAAAAAGACAAAGGTATAGAATCGAAGTCATTTTATCCACAGTTGAAAAAGGTGCATTTACGCTAAACATTGTTTTCTTTTTACTTACAATCAAGGATTGAAAATCTGGTTCCCACACTTGCATTTCCAACTCAGGGGCTTGTAGTTGGAGATGTCATCGCCTCTAGAGTAAGCAGTTGAGAATACTGCAGCTGAGAATTGGGGGTTTTGGGATTGTGTTGTGACAGGAACTTGAATTGCCTCACAGTGCGGGCAGGAACTGCACCTTCTCTCGCACCTTGGTGGCCTCGACCCGAGCAGACTTCTCATCACCAATGTCTTCTCCTCTTCAATTCCTTTCTGTTCATAGAACATTATTGAATTCTGTCACTTCTAATTGGATGTCAAGAAAGACGCAAGATTATACATGAAATGGAGTTATGACCTGACCTGAGCAACCTCAAGCAACGTGGAGAGAGACCTTCCTGGAATACATGAAAGCAAGTGAAGATGAAGTCAAAGTCAATGATTCGAATTTTTTCTATTTTAAATTTGGAAATAGTTTTTTTGAAATTTAGACAAGGAAACAAACTTACCTTCTGCAGCTATGAATCTAACTTGAGTCAAGCTTGAAACCAGAAGAAAAAGCAAGGAAACAATAAGGTGTCTATTTCTGTGGCAACAAACAGAATTTGGAGCGCTGCTCATTTTTCTCAAAGAGAGAAGGGGCTGGTGGGTGTTCAAAACCTTAAAGGAGGAGAGATACGGGATGGGATATTAGAGCAGTAAATTAATAGGACCAACGCCAGGGAAATTAAATATAGTTGGTAGTGTAGAACGTAACTGAATCTGAATTCCTGAAAAGTGTCCCAAGGAGAGTTTTTCAGTACTTGAATGCCACCTTCACAATGCAAAAAAGATGAGTCTGTTTTTTCACCTTGTGTGGCTCTAAAGTCTGAATCGAGGATGGAACGTGGAAGGGAAAAATAGCACTGCAATGAGGCTAAAGGCAAATGAGGACCTCAACCGGAAAGGGAAGGACCTCGGCCTCGTTTCATGAGCCACCAAGAAACCAAGGAACCTTACCATTTGAAGAATAGGAAAAAAATGAAATAGAACGAAAACAGCTGTAGTAGCAGAGGGAGGTAGAAAGCAAAAGGATCGACAGCACAGCCAGGTGAAAAGATTGAAAATGACAACAAAAACAGCAACAAAGGAGATGACACAAATGCCAAATGATAGAGAGTTTTCCACAATGGAGATGGGTTTATGTAATGTCAATTTGTCCCCCCGCTTTTACGTTCCTCCTGGAGGGGAGGTGGGCTTGGATTTGGGTTTTGGCTGGTGGGTCGTGGCCAGTTCCACTCCAACACGCCAAACCCCTCCTCTCCTCTCTATCAATTGGGAATACTTAAATAGTATTTGCATGAGTATTTCCTAAGGAGGATACTATTTTGGGGTTGGTACGTAAGACTGTGGAGTTTGCTTGATAACTTACCGGGTTGGTTGGAGAGTTGAATATTTTATCTGCAAGCTCACGCATGCTTTTTGGACTGAACTCCTATACTTAAACAGAGACCAATGTATATACTCTGCAAAGACACCTAATTACAGCAGACTTCTCGGGTGCTCCAATTTTTAAGATACCATTTCAATGTTGTCAAAAAGAAATTCAGCTCCAGAAATCATGGTATTTTTTTTTTTTTTAGAAATCCACGTTTATGTGATTCATAAACATCAATTAAGCATCGGTTTATCATTCGTAAGTTTACCACAATTGTATCAACCTATATAAGAATATTACTAAAAAATCTTAAATTTTGCGGATTGCACGAGAACCGGGAAAATTCATAATTGAGTTCAAATTTTGTTACTTATTTTTACTTCTGAATTCTGACACTGGTACCTTCTCATTATTGATTATTACTTATAGTTCCACAACATTATGATTTACGGGCATTAGAGCGAGCAGCTGCAGCAGTAGAATCAAGAATGGCAGGAGATTGGGCCAAAGTCCAGCTGCAACATAAAAAGCCAACAGAAAGTGAGCTGGGCTGGGACCGGCAAGACACCTCAGACAATATAGATTACCAACAACAATCCACCGCCTACATGCGTGGAGTTACTGCCAAGATGTTACCCATTACAATCTTTTGGACGATGCTGTCATCTTACTCCTGACTGAAAAAATAAAAACAGAGGTTAAACTGCTGAAACAAAGTAATGTTTTCAGCATTGGGGCACACATTCATAGCAACTAATCCATCTTAAAATAGAAAATCGTCATTGGCAACTTACATATTATAGTTGTTAATGTTGTTTTGGATACGAGTTAGTTGAATGGTAATACGGAAGTTGTACCAGAAATGATTTGTATCTGAAACAGTAAAGTATGATCGAGGGATGCCGAATTTGATTGTTCATAATGCACTGTAACACTCAAATCAATCAAATGTTTGAAGTTTATTGAAAAGAGAGAGTGAGTTACATATAGTGTATATGAAGCTTAGAAGAGAGGGGTTTAACATCATCGTAATTGATTTTTTTTTTAATTTTTATTTTGTATATAAGATAATAAACAGTGATGTAACCAAAATTATTAACAATTGATAAAAGAGTGAAGATGAGTTCGTCTTGTGACGAAGAATTTAAATGTCAATTTTTTTTAATAGTAATGAGAAAACGGGACACATCGACTTAGAGAGAAGGAAAGTAGAGATTGAGGTGTTATTACAATAGTAATACAACAACAAATCGGCACCTCTTAAAGTAGAAAATTGTCAATCATTTGCTGGAAATACTTCCTTTGAAATAAACATCAAAGGCGTGTTCCCAGCTCACTTTTGTTAAAACCCCCCATTATTTTCTCTGCAAAATTGGATAAAAACAAATGAAAAAAACTAGAAATTCAGTCTTCTGGGCAATAACCAGTTATTCAACTACTGTCCTCAACTCGTAGGTTTAAATGTGTACTGTATGAAATGAGTGACTTTTGCGGCTTCAAACAACAAAATTTTGAGAAAATTAAAAGTAACTACTTGCAACTTGCAAGTACTTAAATTGTACATGGAGCCCTTCCAAACCCATCACCATTTCATGGAGTTTTTCTTTTTCTCCCTTCTTTTCCGTTTCTTTCTTCTTCTTTTGCATTGGGTTCTTTCTGTAGAAAATGTTTTTTCTGCCAAAGTTACTGGCATTGGCCTCACAACCTTCTTTTCCCGTTATCAATCAGGTATTACCCGCATTTCTCTTTCCCACAATTCGAATTAGAGGCTTTCATGGAACACGCTATGGGGAAGTCGTTACTGCCTCCAAGAAGGTTTCGAAAATTTTTGTTGTTGACATGCGTGACTCCCACTGGTTGAGTCCATAAATTTGTTAATTCTCTATGGCTGCTACAAACCTAGTAAGAGGTAACATCTCTCTTCATGGATCACCATTAATTATTTCTGTAAAACCAAGAATATACATCATACAAAAGCTTGTGATTATCAATTACATGGGTTATTTCCATTGTAACATACAGGTAAAGAAATAAAAGTATGATCTTTTTCTTTTCAGTTAGCGCAGTAGCTTCTTAGCAGTTAAAAGTCTAAAACCATATGGAATAGAGGAATGGGGGAATTGGAAACTCCAATGCCACACTTGAATATTAATTTCAGAATAGTTGAATAGTTTGAACTGTTTCAGGAAAATCCCAGAAAAGCTTTGATTATGTAATAGTGAAACAGATTGCTGTGGTCCTCCTTACTAAAGAATCAACCTCAAGAAAGGTTCACTGTCAGTCTATGAAACAAAACTATAATTCGTTTACCATTTGTCTCCAGAGTCAGCAGCAAGTTAGGCAGGCTAATTTGGTGATCAAAACACCAAACAATAAAGAATGATTCTAGATGCAGAATGGCTGACTCAGCCCAATCCTATCCCGATAAAAAGTTGGGTCTAGGAATAATTTCCGGCTGCAATCTGCATAGTTTGACAAGGCCCAAAGGTTCAGACAAAATCAAAATACTTGATTTTGACAAAAAAAAAAAGGAGAAAATGACTGAATGTAGCGTGGGAGTCAATGAGGTAAACTTTTATATAAACTAATGAAAGAAAGAAAGGAAAAATCTTGTGAGGTGGCCAGCAGCCGAGAGGTAAAGTGCTATGGCACAAGAATTGGATTAGACGAGCCGTCCAATTAGGTTGAACTTTGAGAGAAAAAAAAAGTTAGATGGGAGATATGAAAGTTCTTGGCCTAAATGGGGACCATTCTTGATTTTGTATTGGATTTTACCATCATTTCAGTTAAAATCCATTGGTCGTCTCTCCATCAATCTGATGTGAAAAACCAAAACCTCTCTTCCCCTTCAAATTAAAAAATACAGTTTTAAAACCATAATAATGCCAGCTTTTGTTCACTTATTGCAATATATCCCCTCCAAAATGTGGAAGAATCAACATCTGTTTTATTTATGATTTTTTTTTTGTCAACACGAGACAATCACCATATAGAAAGATTGAAGTTTTGGCCATAGGAAGTAGCATATTACAATCTTAATCAAACAATTGAAAATTTGAAATATTGTAACCTCCAGCTGCAATTACAATCCAATTAATGCCCCCACAAATATGATCACATCAATTTGATAAACTCTCACCATCTACTCTCCTACTAGACTACCACTAATTGGTGTTATTGTACATCACTTTGTTTCATTTTTTTTCTTCAAGAAGTGATTTTTGTGATTTTGTATATATTACAAATTCAGTTTATAAACATGATTACACACTATCGATTCACATGAAAAGTCTCTCGTAGACAGCGAAAAAAAGTTAGGTTTTAGGCTTGCTATATATGTATGACATTTAAGGAATTTATTGATTTTAGTCACATTCTTCTTAAGTAGTACATATAAATCTCTTTTTGCAGTCAATAAATTCATCGGAATGGATTCAACGAGGGCAATTGCAATTTACATTATGCGAAGGAACAAAGTTAAAAAGAGTATATCATCGATATATATATTTATATATACACATTAACAAACATTGGTATTTCTTATTGATTAATTTTATAAACAATCAACAAATATTAAAATAGAAAATCCAAAGACAACTAAGATGGAAAGAATATGTAAGTTTGATGAGTGATCGCAAGTAGCTTCTAAGAGCCTCATGAAAGGTTTGATGTGTGTTTGATTGGACCCAAAAACAGTCGCATCCCCGTCTCAAATACTTGGCTCCAATGGACCCCATTTCCCACATGGGTGAATAGTATAGGTTGCCAGCTCCCATCCACCAGCGCACGTTAGCCTCAGTCTCTGCGAAAGCCCTTTCTTCAAAGGAGAGATGGGATGGAAATGGGTGTCTGTCAATGATCAAAAAGGAGTTAACGTTTGACGTGATTGGCAGCAGACCCCACGAATTATTAGTATAACAAAAAAGAAGAAAATAAAAAATGGTAGCCATTGGGAGAGAAAGAAAGGGGTGGTGGGACTGGCAGGGAGTTATGATGTCGAGTGCATCGGGAAACAGCTCCCGCGCTGTTTTCGCGCGCCTCTTACTGAAACGACACTGCCGGAAATGGGTCCCAAGAAACAGGCCGAGCCAACAAAAGAAAAAGTTGAGTTATGGCGAAAAAAAAAAAGTGTTTTTAGTTTTTACTGGGGGAATGAATCTTGAGACACAGAAAGATCCAACATCTAATGGTTAGCAGCAGGCAGAGCCAGAGGGAGTGGGAGTGATCTTCGAGTCTTCTCCATAATAAACAACAGCAACTGGTAGTGTGGG